CATTAAGAAAGTGATGCGCTTACCAGTGGGATTTAGTGCCCTTATAAAAGAGGCCCAGGGAGCTGGTTCACCTTTTCTACCATGTGAGGACACAGCAAGAAGGTAGCAGTCTGTGACCTGGAAGTAGACCCTCACCACAACATGACCATAATAACACCCTGATTTTGGATTTTACAATCCCTGAATCTGTAAGATAAAAATTTTCTTTGTTTATAACCACCCAGTTAAGACATTTTATTAGAACAGTCAAAATAAGCTAAAGCAGCCTTCAAGATCCTGCAACCATCTATTCTTTAAATGGCTCTTGTCACTACCCTTTTCCGCTTACCCTCCTACCATCTTGGTCTTCTTTCACATCCCAGCTCACTCTTGCTTGTGCCTTTATCCCTTGCTGCTTCATCAGGTTGAAATGCTCTTTACCTCCTTTCTCTGTGCCTAGCTCTTTCTCACTCTTGGGAGCACATACTGGGCCCTACCTCAGGTTTCCATTTCACTGGTTTCAGGGGGAGCCTTGAGATTGGGTATGCTTCCTAAGATGCTCCATTGATTCCAATGTGCAGTCAGAACCGCTGCTGTGTCTTAAACCTTACCTCATCAGAGAGTAGACACCTGTCTAAAGGGGATGTCTTTCCTAGTTTGCTATTAGGTCAATATTTTCCTTAGTTACCTCTTTAGAGATCAGTGCAAGGTGTGCTATTTGCTTCCTTTGTTTTTGATCTATCGCTTCCAGGGAAGAATGGTTCTCTGAGCATTAGCTCTAGACTGGGGGCATTCACATGAGCAGGGAGTAGATTTGGAATGTACATTTCAGGTCCCACCCCTGACTTTCCTGTTGCCCACTGAAGCTTGAGGACCATAGCACTCAGGGAGAGCATTGGGAAGCCAGGATCTCATGTGTGCTGTTCACTCTGTATTCCTCAAAAATCAGAGGCCTGACTATGAGTGGAAGCTCGGCAGGCCTTCATTGAATAGATGAGTAACAGTATACCTCAAAAATGTTTCTTCTGTTAGAAGCTCATATGTAGACTGAAGGCTAAATAAAAAGAGCTAAACAAACCAAAAACTCCAAACACAATTTTTATTTCATTTCCTAAAATATTCTACAGTTTATGCATATAAGAGCATATTAAAAACTGTGTATTATCAGAACATCTATTCCTCCATGTTTTCAGGAAATTCCACTAATTTGAATGTATCAAAGAATACTTGTTATGTAAAAAGATTATTCTATTATTTCCATTTTGGGGCTATAAAATGAACTGCTTTATCTGAAGCCAGATGTTTGAGAAGTAGGATCCTATTGCTTTTGTCTTTCCATTTCTAAATTCTAGATACATATGAAAAAGAACGTCAGGGAATGCAGGCCAACATTGTAGCTGTAGCCTTACTGAGTTAATGGAGAGTTGAAGAAACTGGGTCAATAGAAGGACATCATGTTAAGTGAAGTATGCCAGGCTCAGAAAGACAAAGGTCACATGTTTTCTCTCATATGTGGGAGATAGACTCAATACAAATACAAGCAATATTATGAAAAATAGGTCATGCTAAGGTGTGGTCACTCATGGGAGAGGGAGGGTAAAAGAAGGAAGTTAATAAGGTGAATTTGGGTGCTGTACTTTCTATACAAGAATGAATACAAAAATTTTTAAACCTGTTAAAATCACCAGAAGAAGGGGACTAAGGTAGAAAGGAGAAAAATAGAGGGGATAAACCAATTTGAGTTACAATACATATATATGGAAGTGTCACAATGAAACTTCCTATCTAGCTATCTTAAATAAACAAAAATGCCTTTTTTCAAAAATGGAGAACAGGAAGGCAAAACAGGTCCTGTTTGGAGGTTGGTACCCATGGGAGGGAGAGGATATAAAGAAGGTGAGTGTAGTGGAAATGTCATGTACTCATGTACGAAAATGGAAAAATGAGACCTGTTGAAACTATTCCAGGAATGGGGGAGGGGAGTATAAAGGAGAATGATGGAAGTAGTAAACTCAACTATGACATATTAAAAGAACTTTCGTAAATGTCACCATTGTACCCCCAGTACAACAATAATGTGATAGTAAAAATAAATTTTAAAGAAAGAATAAATAAAGAAAAAAAATCCTATATTGGGAAATGAAGAAAGGAAATTGATCCTGGAACCCAGTGCTCCTTGCTAGATTGGAAGATGACCCCAGCACTGTGTGTTTAAAGGCCATGCATCTTAAAATCTGATGTTTGTCCTCATCAGACACCAAGTGCATTTGTGCTTCATTCTCACAAGTTTCCACACATTTCTTACCAAAAAGTTATAGAGAGAGTGTGGATTTCCCAATAAATACTTGGGTCAAGATAGGTTTCCACTTGTGGATAATATCCTTTCTGATGCTTTGACCTATAGGAGGCAAGTAGCAGTCACAGTGGTAACACAACAGATATGTAATGAAACATTTAACCATTTAAATCCCCTCTCTGAATCCTGAGGTGAGAAGCACAAAGTCATGAGTCCCTTCAGTCTCCCATCCCAGGGGCACTTGCAACATTTTGAAAATAGGAAAGTTTGTAGTGGCTGTTGCAGAAGCAGCTAGGACAGCTGATTCCCAGCTCTACTGGGGATGATCATCAGCCTGAAAAAAGGTCCCTCATAATCACAGAGGCAAGTCCTAGACTTTTCTTTGGCTCCTCAGGTTATCTTCCTAAAAAACTGCTCTTTCTAGAATTTATCACAATGTACAATATCTCAAGCTTTGACAGAATTGTGCTCAAATTCCAATGTCAATGTTTAGTAGCTGTGTGGCTGTGGCCCTCTCCAAAACACAACCTACTTAGTCATAAAATGGAGATAATAGCAGTCACCATGTATAGGGATTGTTATTTGATTTAATAACAGTGAATCTATCATTAGTCTCCACTATCATTATCCTCTTGTTTTCCTTGGAAGTTTCTATGCCTCCTTAAAAAAAACAAAGGAGTTGAATGGAAGGGGTTGGATATATTAGGTGCTTTATAATTACATCTTTCAAGGAGAAAAAGTAGTGTCTTTCTGCCATTGTTGTAGAATGCTAAAGGCAATGTTAGGGAGAGAGAAATTAAAGGGAAAATACTTCCTCTTAAAGTAAACCTTGACACTCTACAAAAGTAGGCATGTGTATAATACCACACAAGGAGAAATTTAATTATTGTGCCACTGTTAGTATGCAAAGTTCAGATGTGTTATGTATCACGGAGGTAACTTGTATCAGAAGATTAAAATTTTTGTTTTGGAGGGATTTGGGTTTGAACTCAGGACTTCATGCTTGCCAGGCAGGTGCTCTACCACCTGAGTCACTTTGCTAAGACAAATCATCATCATTATATAAAATTATGCTTATGATAATCTTGTATATTGCCATAAACAAAGAAAAAGCAAAACAACTGAAATATGCAATTCTACAACACTAAAGAAAAAAATAATTAAAATCTCCAACTCAATGGAAATGATTAAGACAAATTATGGAATACTGCATAGTTGCTAGACATGAGTTAGCACTAAAAATGATACCTAGCTCAGATATCATTCAAAATATTCTAAATATCAGGAGAGAAAATGGCTTATGAAGTATCACAGCACAGAAAATTACGTTTATAAAATATGCTTTAAAATGATGTAGTTGTAGATGAACTTGTAGGACTCTAGAAATGTGTTACTTTTACAATAAGAAAACTGTAATGATTTAGGAAAAACATTACTTATGTATTACAACAAATACACACTATCCAGTTAAGCTTTCTTTTCTTCTATTGTCATCTTGCTTTCCCGTAGAAAATCCATGTATTGTAGCTCCGTGTAAACCACAGTGTCCTGGTTTACTTTTGACAAGGATGTCAGAAATTAAGGTCAAGCACTTTTCTAAGAATCTTGGACCCACAGCCTCAATGTGGAAAGACTACAAGGATTTATACATCATACCTCCACTGGTGACAGCCTTTTTTACATGTATGGCTGCAGGGAGGGTTATGTGCCACCATTTTCTCCACCACTGTGCACTTGCCTCACCCAGGACACTCCTAGTCTGACTCCATCTCTCTTTCTCCTCCCTCTGCTCCTCATGGCAAGATGACATTATCTCACCTCAAAGAGCTTCCAGACTACAAACACCTCAATGAAACTTCCTCCTCCCTATTCCAACCAAGTCCCCATCTTCTCACTGGGCACCAGAAAAGCAAAAACCTTCTCTTTCATAGGAGAAGCTACTACACATTTCTAGTCTTTGGGGTGGGGGTGCAGAGATGGGACAGAAAATTCACTCTCTTTAGGACTCAGGGGTATGAGTCCTAAATGCATGTGGACTGATGCATATTCCACATGTATTTTGGGAGCCATTTTTTTTTTTACAGGGAAATAATGGTAAATTGTGAAGCAGATTACTAGTGTTGTGGTTCAGTTACATTATGGGTTAACAAGTTTTTATGATATCTCTGGGAGTCCACTCACTATTTAAATGTGCTCCAAATAATATCTTTTGATTAACATTGGGAACACAACCTGTCCCTAAGCTTTGGACTATTTGGGCTTTGTTTTCTTTACTCAATAAAATGTGTTTTTCAAACAAAAGAACTCCTTTTACACAATCTGTGTTATCAAAATGGGCACTCATCAACAGAGTAGTGTCCATCATACATCACTGGAAAGCTCTTTTGAGATCCAAAGTGCTCATCCTAGGAAATGTGGCTATGTTACTGATCTGGCACTCAGCTCTCTGAAGAGCCTGAAACAAAGAATTCAACTTGTATTTCTGTAAGACATAGTTCTTCCTCTATTCTGAAAGCTAGACTCAGAAAAGGGAACTTCTGAAGCCATACTCTCAACGGGTATAATAAAGACTCAGCAGCTTCCTTAACACAGGACAACAGGACAAACAAAAATTCCAAAGGCTTGGAAGATTTGGCCGTGAAGCAACCCACCACTTCTCCTCTGCATAGAGAAGATTAACATGGTTCCCAGGAGACCAGAAAGAGTCAGAAAATCTATCACTTACCATTTGTATTGAAAAGAGCTGATGCTCCTGGCACACGGTGACCCCGGAGATGCTGTGACTTGGGCAGTGAATGTGCAAGTTTGCTCTAAAGAGTGTACTTCCTTTTCTGAGCTGTGTGGTCTGACCAGCCTTCACACATTGATATGTTAGGTTGTATTTGCATGTTATCTCAGCACTCAGAGAATTTGTATAACTGGCTAGCTTTATCTTGTTATTATACTTTAACAACACGAGTACAGGAATAAGTGAAGCTTTCAAATCTATAAGATTGATACAGAACTTTTATAAAAAAGTGCCTGAATATTGAATTCTGTGTAAATTTATTAACCTGTTTTATTTAAAATCCATATTTTGGGATATGTGTATATGTGTATATAGTTGTAAATTTATGTGTGTGTCTATCAATCTATCTAACTCCATACCTACTTTTGGGACCCACTCTAAAATGTTAATAGTGGTTGATTGTTATATAATTTGCTCAGTTTTCAAGTTTCCTATTTTGAATACATAGCACTTGTATAAAAAATAAAGATAATTTTTAAAATAAAAGGAGTGTGATACTACAACTCTTATTGTAATATTTAGCTGGTAGAAATATTCATAAGCTTATCACAGAACATCATTCATCTCATTCAGAAAAGAAAATACATGCCAGTCTAGGCTGATGTGTTAATTTGGGGGTGATACCTGTTAGCATTAAACACATTCATCTCACATTACTGAACCAGGTATGCATCAATTAAAGGAATTTTATTACATTCTGAGTTGTCATTCTTCCCAACCATTTACACCTCTCTGAACACATTCTGAGAGATGAATTTAGCTACTTGTTTTGCTTATATAGCCTGATACTGAAGTAATTTCAAGGGCAAAGATCATCTTTGGTTTCATTGTAAAGGAAAGGTAACTGATTCCTTAATTTTGAGTTTACAAGCTTCTAGGTCTTGTTTTAAGTACTATAGTGCTTATTCTATGTGCAGTCACCAAATTTCTGCATTTGATGCTGAACTAATACTAATTACTTCCGTGTTCACACAAAATCCTTTTCCTTTCCACAAAAAGGTGTTACTTGTTATTTATTCCTTAATATGAAAATGTTGTTTAAAATCAGTATGTGATTAGAAATATTGATAGCATCATTGCTAGGACAAGGCAGAAAGCCAGGGCAGGGGGCAAGTTCCAGAGTCAGAAAGCAATCTGATAATTGCCCTGAAACCTTCAGGTATTATAAAGAGAGGTGGTGCTTGAAACATGGTCAGATTCTTAGCAAGTAGTCAGGAATCTGAAATCGCACTGTCTCTGGTTCATATTAAATACTCTCTGAATGCTTAGGGAAGGAAGATCAAAGCAAGACTGAAGTAAGTAAGCCAAACTTTTAGATATAACACATTTGCAGACGAGGGCCTTGACATGGAACCATTCTTTAACTAGAAATGATCTGCTGGGACAGAGGGTATCGGTGCAGTTACAGCTTAAAGCTGAAGGCAGTGGTCAATAGCTTAGCTGTACATTAAACTCCCGTGGGAAGCTTTTTAAAAGAGCTCAGGTCCCAGATTTCACCCCAGACCATGAAATCAAGCTCTCTGGGGCTGAGAACAAGGCACAGGCATGCTTTAAAACTCCTCAGATAATTCCAAAAAGCACGCGTGTTTAAGAGCTCATGCCCTAGAAGAGAAACAGGAGGCACAGTAGCAAGATGGGGAATAAATCGCCAGGCCAACCTCACGAATAGCACCAGTCATGACATCTGACACTGCTTCTTATCACTGTATTTTTACCACGTATCACATAATTGCTTATTGTTGGTCATCCCAAGAAGTTGAACCAAAATTACATGATAATCAGAAATCTAGCAATTATTAGTTAACAACGTAACCAATTAGATAAACCTCTGGTTAGGAAAATTTTAAGTTGTAACTCAATCATCTGAATTCCATTTAAACTTGCACTTATTTATAAATGCAACAGAAATGACAGACAATACTACCATTTAAAAAAGATAAAACTATCACATCACAGTATGGGCTCTGAAATGATTCCTCCTATTGGAAGGGAGAAGCAGCGCAGAGAATGGAAAGTGGTTATAATTCTTCAAACAGTGGGGCACACATTCTCTTTTCGTACATTTGCATTTTGAGGAGTGTTTTTGTTCAGTGTTCATGGTGAAATGCACCTGCTACTCATTGCTCACTGAAGGCAGTGACTGGGTAGAAACTATCAGGTCCAAAGACACTGAGTGGCGAGGGAAAACCAACATAATAGTAGATAAAGGAGGGAGCACTAATGAGGCTTAGTTACACTAGTGATTGTGTCTTAAAAATATTGTCAATGTTTTATCAATTAGACTTTCAAAGGAATAGGTTTGAAATAGCTGACATACAAGGTTAGAAATAGTTATAAGTTTTTACAGGATTTCATCTTTATAACTTGAATGACGTTTTCAGGAAGAAACAAGTGGGGCACCTACTCTATGTGCTCAACATGAATATACTTGGACAGAAGATGGGAGATAGGAGAATAGAGGGGTCTTGAGTGTCACCTCTTCCTGGAAGTCTCTACTGCTCACTTTCCCTTTTTCTGGACTTTTGCAGACTGTACCACAAAATGAAGCTCTTTTAATATGTTTGTCTCTTACAGTTTTTTAATTATATTGTTGCATTAGGTTTTGCTTCTTAAATAGAGTTATAACTCCTTCAGTGAGGACTAGCGTTCATATTACCTTCTCTTACCCTAAATCAGAGAGTGGCTTAAAAATAATTTTTGGCTCATAGCTTCTTTTTACAATCTGATTAAAGCTATATCTGGCTTACATACTAATACTACATGTGTACATTATTTCTGGGGACCTGTAAGAGAATCCTTAGTTAAAACATTGTCAAGAATTATGAGATGGCCATTACATTGCTGCTCTTTGATGAGGAAGTTAAAATAAAAAATGTTAAGTGACCCCTCCTCAAGATTCCAGATGAGGAAACCAATTCAGTTAAAACCATTATTTTGTAAACATTTGTCATCTTATCTGCATGCACTTGAACTGTGTTAGCAAAGAACAACTAAAACTCAGGAAGTGGAATCATAAAAATTCAAGGAAACTCTAGTGCTGTTGCTTGGCTAGATATGGAATAGCAGAAGGGATTAGCAGAAAGAAAACCAGAACAGGTTTGGTTAAACAGGGAATACAGAAAAACTAGGCACTTCCTTAATTTGGCTTTTTCTCTTTCACTTTTTGTTCTAAAACCAAAATGAATCCTTTTACTTTTGTACTTTCTATTTTTGAGAAAAGAGTCATATCTTTCAGAACATCAAGGATCTGGAAAAAATGACTTATTAATCAACTTCAGTGAAAAAATAACTTACCTTTCCATCTTACTATACTTCAAATAGGATGAGCAAACTGTATTTGAAGTCAAGAAGAACAGGGAACAATTGTCTTTTTAATTTCCACCCAGGAAAATGTTTACTAAGCTTTAAAAGAACTGCTAAACTGGGACAGTAGAAAAACAGTGTAGACGTTAAGAAGCCTTTTAGAATCCAGAAGTGAACTGTGTTTATTTTCTTCTCAGTTTCCTATTTCTCCAGTCCATATATTCTTCTCAGAGGCAGAATCCAAGCAAAAACCTTTTATTTTACTGAGTCTCCAAGAATTAATTTAACTTACGCAGACCTTCAAAGGACTTGTTATTGCTCTTGACAATTTGCTAGTGATTATTTGCCCTTAAAAATGACTAAAAAAACCAAAGGTTTCCACATGAAAAGTGGATTTTTCTCTTACTCTTTCTGTTCTTATCCTTTCCTCCCTCTCTTCCTTCCTTCCCTGTTTCCTTCCTTCCCAGTTTCCTTTCCAATAGGAAGGTCAGGCCAGACAGTTTAGAAGTAAACAGATGTAACTTGGGATTTATCAGATTCATTGAAGGTAATAGGATAAAATTGTCAATGTACCATTTCCCAACCTTTTCCCTTGTCTCACTGCCTGTTTTTAAAATAAAAATAGAAAATAAGAATAGTTTCATTTCAATGCAGGATAAATGTTGAAAAGGTTTACACTTTTGCATACTTTTTTCCCTGTCTCTGTACTATAGAACCACCATTTGAAAGGTTATTTAAACTTGCTCTTTTATTTTTAACTCTTGCTAGATTTGGGATTTGACAGGCAGGAAGTCTTTCTCTATAAAAGTTATCTGAACTAATATAAAATTATTCAATATGGGTGTAACTTACTGATAATCTTTCTTGTGGTCAGAAAAACAGGAGTGTTTCTATTTTTAATTATTTGGCACATTTTGGAACTTAATGCTGCTACTTAATAAGGCTACTAGAGAACTAAGAGTACCTATAATGTGACTCTGGAAGCAAATTTGTCAGAATGTAATTTGCCAAACCAGTCAAGATAATTCTGACTCTCTTTTCCCTTCTCCATTACAGGTTGATTGACTTCGGCAAGGTACCACATGGCTTAAAAAATCATTGATCAATGAATGATGCTGGAAAGGCTTGATATCCATATGCAAAAAATGAATTGGATTCTTACACTACAACAGATCAAAATTAAAATATATCAAAAGTCTAAACGTAAGAATAAAACTATGACTCTTTTAAAAGAAAACTTTGAGAAAAAGTTTTAGAAAGTTGACATTTGGGTATGATTCATCAATATCCCAGGCACCAATGAAGAAATAGAGAAATTGGACTTCATCAATATTAAAACCTGTTTATGTATCAAAGGACAGTATCAAAAATCGGAGAAAACATTTGCAAATCATATATCTGATGAGAGATTAGTTTCTAGGGCATATAAAGACCTACAGCTAAACAACAGGCCTACAACAAGCTACCTGATTCAAGAACAGGCAAAGGACTTGACCATGTGTTTTTCCAATGAAGTCATACAAATGGTCAATATGCCCGTCAAAATATGCTCAACCTCACTAATCATTAGGAAAATTCAAATTAGCACCATATTGAGATGCCACTTCACACCATTTAGGATGGTTATTATGAAAAATAAAAATAGAAAATAACAAGTATTGACTAGGATGTGAAGAAATTGGAACCCGTGGGCATTACTGGGGAGAACATAAAATGATACAATTGCTGTTAAAACACTATGGTGTTCCTCAACAAATTAAACATAGGTTAACATATGATCCAGCAACTTCACTTGTGGATATATACCAAATGAAACTAAAAGCAGGGACCTGAAGAGATAATTACGCATCCATTGTAATGGTGACATTATTCAAAAGGTGAAAGCAACACAATATCTATCCGTGGATCAGTGGAAAACAAAATGTGGCTTATTATTTGGCCTCAAAAGGCAATTAGATTCTGATATATGCTATTATATAGGTGAACCTACAGATGAACCTTGATACATCATACTAAATGAAATAAGTCGGACATGAAAGGACAAAAGTTCTATGGTTCCACTTATACAAGATGCCTCAAATAGGCAAATTCATAGAAACAGAAAATAGAATGATGGTAACTGGGGCTGGTATGGTGAAGAATAAGAAATTATTGCTTAAAAGGTATAGGTTTTCAGTTTGAGATGAGGAAAATGTTCTGGAGATGGTTGCTCAACAATGTAAATGTATTTACTGCCACTGAACTTTACACTTTAAAATGCTTTAATTGTTATATATATACACATGCAGCGGTGCTGGAGATCTATAGATAAATTTTTTTTTGAGATGGGAGTCTTGCTGTGCATCTCAGACTGGCATCAAACTTGTGATCCTCCTTCCTCAGCCTCTTGAGGGCTAGGATTGCAGTTGTGTACCAATACCCACATAGAAAATAGTAAATTTTATGTTATGTATCTTGCCACAATGAAAATAGAACTCCTTGTTGTGTCATGAATGATTGTTTTATCCATAAATTCACATATTGAAACCTAATCCAGAATGTGATGGTGTTAAGATGAAGGGCTATGTGAGATGACGAGGTCATGACAGGAGAGCCCTCATGGAAGGAATTAATGCTTTTACAAAAGGGGCTTGAGTTAAGAAAAGTAAGACAGGTCCAGAAGGACAAAGGTCACATGTTTTCCCTCATGTGTGAAAGCTAGACTTAGAAGATAAATGCATACATAAAAATATAAAAAGCTTTAGGGAATATGAATACACATTTAGCTTCTCTGGGTCCTTTAGATAATGATTCCTTTTAATAGTGGTTCAATAGAATTGTTTCAAATGTGTGGCACGCACTTCAGAGGACTATTGTTCACACATGCTCCTTTCCCTAAATTGGTAGTGTACCCCTTCAGAGAACATGTAGGATGGAGACAGTTACATTGTACTCCATCTGCCCAGACTAAGCTACATCTCCCTTCTCCAAACAACAATCCAGAGAGAGACATGGGATGCCTGGCTGCCAGGGGGTCCTCATGTCTCCCAATTTCTAGTGATCCTCCCTCATGTTAAACCTAGAGACTTTCTTCATTGTACTGATCACTTTTGGGTAGTTTCTGGCATCTCAATGGCGCACCCTGCTGGAAAAATGCTCTATCAGATATGCCACTTTTGGTAAGAAGCTGGAGGACTGTGCGTGCCATCAATAATTAACCTGGGAATGGATATGTAGATCAGTGGTAGAGCGCTCACCTAGCATAAGGGCAGAATGCCCTGGGCTTAATCCTCAGCACTACAGTATGTGTGTGTAAAATGAACCTCTACTATCCCTACCATTACCAGTAGAAAGGACTTTAATAAATCACTAAGCTGGCCCTTGGGGGTCTGGTCAAATCTCTGCTCTTTCTGTTTGACATTTGTAATTAATAAGAGCAGAATAAATTCTCAGAAATTATGCTAGTAACTCCCTCTTGATCCAGAGGCTCCCATATTAAAAATTCTATCAATGGTGGATTGTTTAAGAGCAGAGTTCAGCATTTATATGCACTTAATAAATCCAATTCTTTCTGATTAAATCAGTGTTTGGGAGGCAGGGGATAGGACTTCTTTTAAGCTCTCTGGGTAAATTTAAGATCCTGAAGGGCCTGGAACTTTTATTTTTAGAGCACTATCCCCATGGCACACTTAATATGCATTTCATATCCAATAACCTTTTTATTTGCTATTAAAAAACTTGAAAATTATTTTTAAAATTTTGCTTTTGAAATTATTTTTCCATGATTAATTTATTTACTGTGATACTTTGGCAATCATTTATATTCTTCAGATTTTTTTCTGTGAATTGAAAAAAATACTAACCATATTTATAAAGACAGTCTAACTGATTTTAATCAGCTTTTTAGATAGGTAGCCCACTCATAAGGGCAGGTATTAAATTAGAAGATATTATATTGCTGGGTGGTTTTTGTTTTGTTTATAAAACAGAGGCAATCTCACATGATTCAACATAACAATTTTTAGTTAGAACTGTCGCATGTTTTCCCCTGGACAAGTAGAGTTAAGTTGCACAGCTAAGACTAATGGAGCGGAGTGCTGGGCATGTGGTAGGTGTTCGGGGTTTGCCAAATGAATGAATGCACATATAAACGAATAACCGAGTGAAATGACTACATAAACAAGAGCTAAATTGCATGGCACAGACCTGGGAATGGAACTGGAGCAATATATTAATCACACAAAACACTCTGGCAATTACTTTAAAGTCTTTTAAACCAACATTCTGTTTTTAATTTAATTTTTGTTTTATTAGCAAGAGATTGGCATTGCCTGTGGGAAAAAGCAGTCCTGGCATATTTCACTGCCGACTCTTCATTAGGGAATAAAAAAATGGAAACATTAGAGTAGTTTAAGGGGGAGGGGGACCATTGTAGACCCAAAACAGAGAGAAGACTTCAGAGACTGGCCAGATTTTCATGAAACATGTTGCTTTCACTTGGCAGCAAAAATGATCTCCATGAGCAGGGTTTTAACTTGGACATTTCTGTTGTTATTTTCTTTCTGTGTGAGCCCAAGAAAACCCATAGCTCCGCTTATTTTTATAGGGGAGAGAGATTGGCAATCCTAGAGAAAACAAAAGGTGATCAAATCTTAATGATTAATAGGACTTCAGCTTTGGATTCATATACCCGTCCGTGTATTCATCCCCTCATCCTGCTGTACGATGGTGTGCCATACTGCCTAGGTGCTGGAACTAGAATGATGGCAAGACACAAGTATCAGGCACATTTCCAAAGTCTAGGAGGCTCTTCACCTTATGTAAGGGAGCTAATGTAAAGAGTGTGAGAATAGAGCAGGAAAATGTGTTCAGGGAGTAGGAATACAGACCTGATTCTGAGAGAAATTGGAAGAGTTTTCTTTGGAGATACTAATTGACTTGGGCTCAGAAGAGAAGTTTTTTTTTGTTTTTTCACTTTGGTTATAAATTAGAATAATCAGTGGATTTGAAAAAAAGGAAAGAAAGAAATAAAACAAGAAACATGCCCAGGACCCACCATAGAAGTTGTAGTTTAATTAGCTTGAAGTGGAAACTTTTGCTTTTTTTTTTTTGAAGCAGTCTCCTATACACCCCAGTTTTCCTCAAGCTCAGAATCCCAAATGCTGTGATTATAGGTGTGTGCTACCACACCCAGACGCTTTTAAAAATTTTTAAAGAAGCTAAAATTTTTGAAGAAGCTAATAATAAAAAAAGTCATTGTTCTAACAGGAGTGGACACCACAGGAGAGGAAGATTGTGTTGAGAGAGGAGAACATTCTAAGCTAAGTAAATGGTATGGAGAAGGAAAATGCGTTCGAGGTTTCAATCACATGAGAAGGGCAGGCCCAATTTAAGTGGGAAGCTTGAACTGAACATTCCACAGAAAAATGGATGCCTGGGAAGAGCTGCCTTTTGGGAAAAATTCAGCAAGAAAGATTTCACCACAGTTTAGTTCCTCAGCAAGGAACTGGTGGACCATCCTGGGTTAGGTATGGAAAGTCAACTAGAAGATACTACTGACCTAGTAAAATGTTATTTATTGTTCATTTTCTTTATCTAGGAACACAAAAGGTAGACTTTCAGCCAAGAAATTTATATTGAAAGTGGTATAACACTGATGAAAATAGCAGGACCTCCTAAGAAGCAAACTAATGCTAGAAACATCTTCATTACCCACAGAGGACAGGATTCCCACTTGAAATAATTTCCATCAATCCCTAGCCCTGTAATGGAAAGTCACTAAGAACTAAAGGAAGAAAAACTGTGTTGAGAGTGAGTTGGTAGACTTGTCAGAGAATTGCACTATAGAGACTATATATACTGGACCACCCTGAAAGCGATTTCCATTGGACTACACTTAAATGTTTGAAAAGATAATGGGGGGTGGACATGATCCAGGCATATTATGTGCATGTATGGAAATGCCAATATGAATCCTCTTACAATGTGCAATTTAATATACACCAATAAATGGAGATTAAAGTAAGAAAATAATCCAATAGGTTTACAAAGTGAAACAAAAACAAAACACTTAAAAGAGAACCAAATAGAAACTTTAGAAAAAATATTTTTAAAAAATTCTCAAAAATTAGTTAGACAGTTGTGAAAAAGAATTGGAAAATTAGGCTCTAAAACAGAATAAATTACAAAGAAAGTAGCAGAATATTCCACATAGAGAGAAGTAGATAGAAGACAGAAAACTCAAGCACCAAATGACAGTGGTTTTTAGACAGTATCAGTGCCCCTGAGAATGCAAAGCACTGGATTAACACGTTCATACATCTTCTATAAATCAATAATCTTAAAACGTTAAATTAAACCCTAATATGCTCTGTCACTTTATCAATGGGTTTCTAAGCATGTTTACAAAAGACATTAAAACTTTGATTGTAAGAGATGAACTTGTGATTGGATAATTTGAGGCTGTGAATCTTTGTTTTAGGAAGCAACATAATTGTTTTAGGAATTTTGTTACAGGGAATTGTGTTTGTTTAATAAAGCAATGTGAGTTGTGATTGCCATAGAAACCTGATTGCATTAGCTAGTCTTGTGGTGACTAACACTTGGGCTAATAATAATGATAACAATTTCATTTATCTGTTAGGGTTCTAATTAGTTCTACCAGCATGAAAGACAAAGAAGACACTCTTGGTATTAGATAGCTAAAGTCATCCCTCTATATAAAGAATAAAAATAAAATTATATGATTCCAGGTAATTAGCTTTAAAATGCAATGCAGAATCTGTTTTCTTCAACATATTTACTACAGTTAAAGATGCAAAATGAAAACCCAGCATCATTTATGTAAAGTTTAAAAACATACACAACAATATCAAAAATTTTAATTGGTACATACATAGTACAAGTAGAAAAATGTGTACTGGAAGAATCCACACCAATTTAAAGAAAGTGACTGATTTTACAAGTGTCACTTTACAAGCAGAAGAATGGCAACAGGGCTTTACAGTTTTTTTTTTTTTCAGGAGAAAGGAGGTGATGCAAAAAGGCACTGCTAAGTATAACATTGTTTTTCTTAAAAAATAATTCTGAAATATCTATGCTTAAGTCTACTGCTTTGTATATTTATGCACACAGTACATAATATATACATGTAAAGTCTACTTGATATATATTTGGCATTTATTATTCTAGATGGTTAGTAGCAAGAGAGTTGTTATATCCCTGTAAACTTTTAATATAAATACTTTTGCAATTCAAAAATACTACAATAGCTACAATTTGCTTTTTTAAACTTCTGGTTAAGTATCCAAGAATGGAAGATATTAAAATGATGCAAAAAAGGTTGATTTGTCCATTTGCACTGTTCACTCAATTTTTTATTTATATGGGAATCTAGAGGTTTACTACAAATTAATTTCTGAAGTCATTTTTATATTAAAAAACCCTAAAGTGAATATTTCTGTCCTTATCAACAGCAGAAAAAGTAGTTCTCACCTTGATGCAGTTTGTGCTTTCTGATTTCACAGGCAAGACCCTGAAATGCGAATGGGCAAGAACATAAGCACTTTCCATCCAGCAGAATCACTGTGCCTCCATTTTGGCATGGGTAGCATTTTTTAATGCTGAATTCATCAACGTACTCTCCAATGGCTCTTTCCAAATTTTGTTTCTTCAGGTGTGCATCTTTTATTTTCACAGGAACCAGATTATATATAGGAGATAACTGCAAGAAAGCAAAATATTCAATTTTAGATCTTTTTCTACTGAGGATCTTGTAAAGTGCTTTTTATGTAATTGTTTCTTCATGAATTCAACAAAAGCTTTTTGAATCCTTTTCATTGCCAGATATATGATGTTGGCTTGTAAGACTATATTAGTGGCCAAAACTTGCCATGATGTGTGCTATCTTGGAGGTCAGATTTCAAAATAAAAAAATAAAAGATGACATCTGTTGTCAAAAATGCCATTGCAAGAGTGAGAAACCTTAAGCTGAAGAAGATAATTGCAATAATTTTAGTGGGAATAGGTTCATATGCAGAGCATGTCAAGAACTACAGAGTTAACACAACGGTCTTCATGAAATAGTGTACCAGATTCTGATGTCAACTATGGAGTATTTGTTTGGGAGAAACCTCTTTCCAATCCTGCCACATTGGCAAAAACAGCATAAGCCTGTGGCAGAGCTATTTTGATTTTTTGGGAAAAGAAATTTATCTTGTTTTACCCTTCAAAGAAAAGTCAAGGACTGATAATCTAAGATACAGGAATAGAAGATTACTGAGGAAACACAATTTGGATAAAATGTATAAACAGTATTCAAAGAGATAAAGATGAAGGACACACAAATAGCCACAGTTTCACAGAAGGCTCAAGCCCTGGAGACAGAAATCCCACAAGCAGACAAAAGGCAATTAAAATGCATTTTTTGAAGTTTTCTGCAGAGCCACCTCTTTTTCTCATGAACTTTGGCCTTCTATTAAGTAAGAAAAACTGTTTTGAATTTTTCTGCTATGCCAGCTAACTCTTTTATGTTTCTACCACTTGTAGATAGATTTTCTGTGGATATAATCTATTATGAAATTTGTTAAAACACAAATAAGCTGACAACATAGTTTGATATTAAGTACATTAAGATTTTTTTCAGACATCATTCGATGCTATATGCATTGAATATAGTTTCCTGGTTGAATGTCATTTTATCCCTCTGCAAGAGAGTTTGAAATGATTTTCACTGTGTCATGGTGGTTACTTACAGAACACTGGTATACAGCCCTCTAAAACTCTGATGTTTTTTAATATACAGTGTTTGTTGCTAAGAATTATACAACAGAGCAAAAAAGGTAAATTAGTTAATTCATTCATCATGTGGATTGTCCACAATGTAGATTATCGTATATACAGATAAGGGCAGCTGAGGAAAAAGGGAAAAGAATAGCTGAGAAAAGAAAAGGCAAGATGAAGCCAAAAACAATACGGATGAATAGAATTTATGCCAGAAAGATCTACCAATTTGTACCAGGTATGTCACAAATTTGGCCAAATCTTCTAGTGCACTGAGTAAGACACAACTGATTTTAGTAATTATATGTATATAAGAAAACCCACCTGATTTCTAAGAGAAACAAAATGAGATTAAAGGCAATATTTCCTGTGAGTTCTCATAAAGAAGACATGGTACTATATAACATCTTCCTGGGAAATAAAGCAGTGGACTACATAATTTTGTTTCTACAATGTCAAAACAAAACTTTACAGGAAGCCAAAACACCAGCTTGTAGCTATATTGATTTTGCTGCTGTTGTTCTACAGGCAATCATAAGTTTTATATTTCCTGGGCAATCTATAATAAATGTCAGTTGACATTTTGATGACTAGTTTGTAGCAGTTGGTTTAAGAAGAAACCAAAGCTTGGTTATTTTGTTGAGACAAAATGTAGAACATTGGTGTTAGCAGTCAGGTAAGCTGGCGATAGTATTAATATGATTTGATGAAAGTTGAAAACTATGACAAAAGTAAACTCTGAAAAGGTGGACCAGCCTGTGTCCTCTGCATGGGCAGAGAGAGGCCAAGGAAAAATTCTTAGCATGGAGCAAGACAATGGGAGATTGAAGATCACAGGTTCTTCTTGATATAGCTTTGTTATAGCAACTTCAGTATAGAAAATATATACATCATCACCAAGTATTTTGCTTAGAAAATCCCAGATTATACTTATACAGCCTTTTGCTTAGAGTAATATAACTTCCAGGTTGTTTCTCCAAGATGAACCTTGCAGCATAAATATGTAGGTCACTGACTTAATTTTCTATAGAGGATTAGATATAAACCAGTTAAAAGTTTAGGGTAGTAAGGAGATTCTTTAAATAATTAAGTAGGAGGACTGATAATTTTAATATTAGGAACATCCCTAGTGTTTGAACATGTCAATGGTAGATAAGAGAATGCTTCAACTTACCAAAGAATGAATGAGTGACTATAGATTGTGTAATTACCTGCTGGGAATAGTAACCAATTACTCAAGGACCACCTCTACTAGATTGATAAGGGTAAGATGACTTGGAATCTATTTCAAGGTCAAACATATCTTATATCTATTCAAAGATTTAAAAGCCACACAGCCTCAATAAAAACTGTAAAAATTTATTGTTTTCTGAACTTGCTCCAAAAGAAAATATGTTTAAAAAGTGGCTCATGGGTTACTAACTAATGCTGTCATTTCTTTAAGTAGAGATGAGAAAATAAATTTCTTTAGATGTCCATCTGTATATAAACGTTTACTTGAGTCACCAATTCTTTCCTATTTTAAAACTTCCAACATAGATTTAGTTTATTGAGTCCAAGACAATGAATTTAAATAAGGTTTAAACTAAAAGGAGTTTCTTCTGATTTTATTTTTTAAACAGATATGTTAATTTGGCTATTTTTCTTCCGATGTGTCCTATTTTGAGAAAAAGTGTTTGAAGTCTTGTAGATGCATTTACACATTTACAAATGGCTGTATTTCTAACCTAAAGGGAGAAGTGATTGCAATCTTTCAGTTTCTGAGTTCTTCCTTCAAATAAATGAGATCATTTTAGTGGCTCACACATTCTTTAGATAGACTGAGGAGATAAAATTCTCCAATAACCAGTACTGTCAAAAATGACAACATTTCAGAAACTCGACTTATCAGACTAAAGTAGTGGGCAAAGATAAACTTGGCGTAAGGAAAGAAAAATTATGAAAACTTCATGGAAAACTGAAAGCTAAAAAAGGAAGTAGAAAAACCATTTTCTAATAATATTAGGAACAAAAGAAGAAGTAAAGAAAAACACATGCTCTTTAAAGTTAGTTTGGGGAGAGAAAGAAGAGGCTAAATAACGATAGTACTTTTACCTTAATAATTATAATACAATATTCCCCCCTCAGGAATAAGTGCAATACTGCAAACTCCCGAAGAGTTTATAAATGAAAGATTGTTACAGTTAAGATAGAAAAGGGTATACCTATAGTCCCAATTACTCAGGGCCTGAGATGAGAGGGTCATTTTTTTTTTATTATTCATATGTGCATACAAGGCTTGGTTCATTTCTTCCCCCTGCCCCCACCCCCTCCCTTACCACCCACTCCGCCCCCTCCCTCTCCCCCCCTAAAACCCAGCAGAAACTATTTTGCCCTTATTTCTAATTTTGTTGTAGAGAGAGTATAAGCAATAATAGGAAGGAACAAGGGTTTTTGCTGGTTGAGATAAGGATAGCTATACAGGGCATTGACTCACATTGATTTCCTGTGCGTGGGTGTTACCTTCTAGGTTAATTCTTTTTGATCTCACTTTTTCTCTAGTACCTGTTCCCCTTTTCCTATTGGCCTCAGTTGCTTTTAAGGTATCTGCTTTAGTTTCTCTGCGTTAAGGGCAACAAATGCTAGCTAGTTTTTTAGGTGTCTTACCTATCCTCACCCCTCCCTTGTGTGCTCTCGCTTTTATCATGTGCTCATAGTCCAATCCCCTTGTTGTGTTTGCCCTTGATCTAATGTCCACATATGAGGGAGAACATATGATTTTTGGTCTTTTGGGCCAGGCTAACCTCACTCAGAATGATGTTCTCCAATTCCATCCATTTACCAGCGAATGATAACATTTCGTTCTTCTTCATGGCTGCATAAAATTCCATTGTGTATAGATACCACATTTTCTTAATCCATTCGTCAGTGCTGGGGCATCTTGGCTGTTTCCATAACTTGGCTATTGTGAATAGTGCCGCAATAAACATGGATGTGCAGGTGCCTCTGGAGTAACAGTCTTTTGGGTATATCCCCAAGAGTGGTATTGCTGGATCAAATGGTAGCTCGATGTCTAGCTTTTTAAGTAGCCTCCAAATTTTTTTCCAGAGTGGTTGTACTAGTCTACATTCCCACCAACAGTGTAAGAGGGTTCCACACCTGTTGTTGGTGGTGTTGCTGATGATGGCTATTCTAACAGGGGTGAGGTGGAATCTTAGCGTGGTTTTAATTTGCATTTCCTTTATTGCTAGAGATGGTGAGCATTTTTTCATGTGTTTTCTGGCCATTTGAATTTCTTCTTTTGAGAAAGTTCTGTTTAGTTCACATGCCCATTTCTTTATTGGTTCATTAGTTTTGGGAGAATTTAGTTTTTTAAGTTCCCTGTATATTCTGGTTATCAGTCCTTTGTCTGATGTATAGTTGGCAAATATTTTCTCCAACTCTGTGGGTCATTTAAACCCAAGAGTTTGAGACTGAGGCAATACAACATGACTTCATCTCAAAGGAAAACTAAAAGAAAAGGAAAAGGAAGAAAGAAAGAATTCCCTGACCATAAGAATTGCTTATTTTGTTCTTATTTCCATAGAAACCTTGTGAACATTCCTCCTTAAGAAATGAAGTGCTCCCATGTTGGAAGTGATCATGTGATTCCCAGAGGAGGCAAGGGGCCACCAAGGGCAGAAGAAAGAGAACTAACCATTCTTGGGTACTGTTTTGTACCAATCTGTACAATAGGCTCCATATATAAACAATGTATTTGAATGATCACATCTCTTTCAGGTGAAATTTACTCTTGGTCTGAACCAATGGTGACATCTTATATGAAAATGACATGGTCTACTTGAAAATAAACATTCTTTACCTTTTGTCCAATGAGCACTGGAGCATCGCCTAAAGAAGAGGCCCAATTTACAAAGTCAGTCACGTCAATTGCCTTGGATTCTTTGAGAAGCTTTTGTTTTAGTTCAAATGCATATTTTCTGGTTCCTCCTCTAATGAGTGAAATAACATCATCTATGAAGCTATCACGGGTGATGTTTACTGAGAAGAGAAGGAAGACTTAAATAAAGAGAAACATCTGTAATTCTTTGGTCAGTTATCAAGACAACATTTGATATACATGTATTAGCCCTTTTAGTACAGTTCAGTGTGTTCATTGAATTTTAATTATAAATATCACTTATTTAATTTCCCCACAAAATCTGTAAGGGCAATTTTTCTTCATAGTCAACTGTAGATTTCAATTGTCTTTCTGTTTTAAATTAAAAATGGTACAATGAAGCCAGGTGGGTTGGCACACACTTGTAATCCCAGCATTTAGGAGGCTGGGGCGGGAGGATTGAGAGTTTGAGATCAGCCTAAGATACATAGGGAGATGCTGTCTCAAAAAGAAAAAAAAAAAATAGAACAAGTAATCTAGATTCATTGATAATTCACAGTTTATCAAATGAATACACATGGGAACTTAGCATGACTTTGGGTACCTATATGTTTTTGTTGCAGACTTACTTCATAATTATATTTTCTATAGATTTGATTTAAATTATTTTAGCATTATGGAAAGATCAGAATCCAAAAGTATAATTTTTTCCCACCCCAATATCCTACCCAAACTGAGCTACTTTAAAATGTTTTGCAAGTCTTTTAGATTTGTGAAGAACTGAAAATTTAAAGATGGTTTTGTTTATCCTTCTTCATTTTTATGTATTAGAAACCTGAAATTAGAGAGGTGAATTGATCAGCCCATGATTATACAATTAACTTGGTGGTCAAGTATAGACATGATGGCACTTTATTAGTGGCTGGCTCTCCATCAAAGCATTAAGTTAGAGGTTGATATGCTTTAAAAAAAATCAGATTTTAACCTCCTCACCACATCTGACTCTTTGAAGATGAGTCTTAAGCATTTTGTATTTAAAAAAAACATTCTTAGTTATTTCTGATTAGAGTAAAAATAGGGAATGCTAACACTTTCCCATGACTGTAAATATCCTAATGATTAACCCTCAAAGTGATATTTATATATTTTGTTTGTGGTGCTGGGGTTTGAACTCAGGGCCTACACTTTGAGGCATTCCAGCGGTCCTTTTTTGTGATGGACTTTTCAAGATAGGGCCTCTAGAACTATTTCCCCTGGCTGGCTTCAAACTGTAATCCTCTTGATCTCTGCCTCCTGGGTAGCTAGGATTAGAGGTATGAGCCACTGGCACCCAGCGATATTTGCAATTTTAAAAAGCTTATGCAATAGTTTTGTGTCAAGGAAAGACAGGGGCTATCAAGTCAAGTGTAAGGTTTAGCTGGGGGAGATTGCTTTGACTTTCTCCTTTATTAATGGATCCTGGCACTGCCACTGGCCCATTGAAAACCTGGTTAAATTAGGGGCAGAAGGAAACTTTTCAAGATACTTTCCTATCTGTGCTTAGCTTTCTTACCCTTGCCATAATAAATACACAAATCTTCAGTGTGCACGGTATGAATGGCAGCCCTTAGAGCTGAGTGCCACCAACCTACACAATAGTAATACTGATAAATATATGTCCATGACTTGTGTTGATTGTAGTTCAGAAACAGTTGGAAAGGTAAAATACTTCTTTTTTGTTTGTTTGTTTTGTTTTTATCTTCCTATGGAGCCTGGTCTGGCCTTGCACTCTCTATCCTCCTGACTCCACCTCCCAAATACTGGGATTACAGGCATAAGCCACCATACCCAGCTTAAAATAGTTCTTATATAGCTTTAATTTTTCTAAATAAAGGGAGTAGACGATAAAACAGGCTCATTGGGAGAGGGTAGTGCTCTTTGACACTTGTCTCCTGCTTTTATTAAATTGATAAGCTAGGGCATACTTACCAGTTCTACCGTCGCCTGTCTTTAGGCAGTTAGTCTTATTAATTTCTCCTTTGACTTCAGCTACATCAGCGATTCTGGGGATATGTAGAGATATACCCAGATTATACCCGAGGCATCTCTTTATGTCACTTATTTCAACACCTGTTTTATGTGTTTAGTTGAAAACAATTAGAATAGTGCCTATTAGCATCAGAAATAAATTCAGCTTTGCAATTTTGTAACTAATATACTTACCAGTATATTAAATCTACCATTTGATTAAAAAGGATATAAGCCAGACAAGGCGGTTACAGTAGAGTCCTTTATCTCTAATGCCAAGGGGACAATAATCCCTAACTTGTACTGAATTCTTATACACCTGACATCATTCTAAGCATTTTATATGCATTAGCTAATTTAATCCTATTATCCTCATTTCTTATTATCCTGATTTTACAGACGAGGACACAGAATCTCAGAGCAGTTATGTAACCTGCTAATAGCTAAGTGCCCAGATAGCAATGAGTCAATTGGGTTTTGAAGACAGAGCTATACAACTATAAGCACCTCTTTATTTTAGCTTTATAATTTGCTCAAGGAATGCATCAGCATCTTTTGATCTTCTTCAGAAGATGCAGTTCACAGTCTTGGACAAATGGCTTGTGTATATGACAACTTTGTTTTGGTCCTATGAATGTTATTTAGTATACATGAATCTTGGAAGTGAACTCATTGGGGTGTACAGCTACCCAGTTATTACGAAGGAAAATTCTTATATTTTCTTAAAGTCTCTCATTTATTATCTGATTGCTTGATTTATAGGATGTAGCAATTCATTTGTTCATTCTAAGGGGTCACTAGTACAGACTGCAGCTCATTGACTCTCTCAGTTTTTGCTCTCATCATTTCTGATCTCTCTGTCTTTCTCCCTCTTTCTCTACTTCCCCCAAATATTCTGGACCCAAAATGCTTTATCAAAAAAGAATGAGTTTTAAAAGTAGATATCTGAGAAGCATTAGGCATTTATTCATCCAACAAATACTTCTTGTGCGCCCACAGGTATTAAGAATCATCAGGTAGCATTCCCAATGAAAAGGGAAGAAGATAAAAATGGAAGACAATGCCAGAAATAGAGAATTCTAGATTTCCAGCCTTATCGTTAAGAATCATGAGTACTGTGCTTCTGAAGTGAGAGTGAAAAATAGGTGACTCCAAAGGGCTTAGATTCTCTGCTTGTGCAGTGGGCCCTTCCATGTCTAGACCTTCCTAATTGAGGTGGAGAACATGACTTGATCCTCAGAAGTTGGCACTGGAGAAGTGAGAAAGATGACTTCATTTTCAGAGAGACTTGGGGTGACCTAACAATCCTTGTCTACTAAGCCCAGAAGGTAAGTAGACTTAACTGGATAGCTCTGTGTCATCCAGAATTAAAGAATCAAAGCTACTCTTGGCCTGAAGTGTTCTTTGTGTTTTGATCACCCTTGTTGAGGCTTTCCTTTCTAGTTTGAGTCCTCTTGTGCTCCTCCCTATGTAATATCTCTGTTAATACAGCCTGCCAGGTGGGGCTAATACAGGCCAGGTGGATATAGCCCTGTGCAACAGAGTACACCAAACACACGTCCCTGGAGAAATTTTACCTACTCAAATCCAGACTGAGGCACCAAGAGCAGTTGGCTCTGGCCCTGTCAAGTTTTTCACCCATAAAGTATTTATTGACTATGGGGAGAATGACAGGCTTTAAGATCACGATCACATCCTCCCCTTCACTTGACACTCACGTGACACCTTGGCACACTGACTGCAACACATCCATGCCTAAAATTTACCCAACAATTGTGAGGGTGAGGAGGAGATATGCTGGTATCTATCACCTCCTTGAGAAATATCATATCTAGTCATAATCACTCACAAAATAAGTGATTAAAATTTATTAACATGGTCACTTTGAACTTACCTTTTTTTAGCAGGACTAGGGATTGAATTTAGGGGCTTGTGCCTGCTAGGTAAGCAGTCTACCACTTGAGTCAGACCTCCAGTCCTTTCAGTTTTTAGTTTGTTTTTCAGATAGGGTCTTGTGCTTTTGCCTGAGCTGGCCTCAATCTGCAATCCTCCTGCCTCTACCTCCAGAGTAGCTGGGATTACAGATGTGTATCAGCATGCCCAGTCTTGTTTGTTTTATTTGAGACAAGTTCTCATTATGTAGCCTAGGCTGGCCTGGGACTCATAATCTTCTTCATGCTTTAGGCTCTCAAGTGCTCTGATTACAGGACTGCACCATCATGTTCAACTATTTTATTTATTTATTTATTTTTTAGGAGATGGAGTCTCTCTATGTTGCCCATGCTAGTCTTGAACTTCTGGACTCAAGCATTCCTCTTGCCTCAGCCTACCAAGTAGCTGAGGTTATAGGCGTTCACCACTACACCCAGTCCATCTACTTTAATCTTAAAAGGCTTACATGAAACTTTAGGTCAGGGTGACGATAGGTAGCACAAAACCCTTTCTTGTCCCTAGGGTACACATTCATGATGAACTATGACTTCACGTGTGACCAGAAACTTCTCCAACACAGACCTAATTCAACCACCACCATCTGATTACAACTAGCATCATATGAGATAAGACTAATTTTCTAGCCTCACTTTAAGATGTTAGATTTATCTGATGACATTACTTCTTCCTTCCCTTCTATGAAAAAATTTAGAATAATATTTTCCTTCTGACACCAGCTACTTGGAAGATAGTCATCACATATAAATTGGACTAATCAGAATGATTAAGAAATATGCTATGTAAATTATGTTTCTTGTACCTTCTTTCACCTTTTAAATAATATTTCACTAAAAGCAGAGCCCCCATATAATAGATATGAATTTTTTGCAGGATTGGGATTTGAACTCAGGGCTTCATGCTTGCAAAGCAGGCACTCTACCACTTGAGCCACACTTTTAGTACATTTTGCTCTGGCTTTTTGGAGATAGGCTCTCTTCAACCATTTGCCTGGGCTGATTTTGAACAGAAATCTTCTTGATCTCAGCCTCCCAAGTAGCAAGGATTATAGGTGTGAACCACCAGTGCCCAGCTTATCTATGAAATTTTAATACAATTTGGTACATCTTTTCGTAATTTTATGTGCCACAGAGCAGATGAGAGTTCTTTCAAAGCAGATGATTAGATTCTGTAGTCTAAGGATACAGGATAACTGCATACAGAAAACAGGAAAACCATTAAAAGAGGTTAGCAAAAAGAATAATGTTTCGACAAAACAGCATTTGTAGTCACAATTCTAATTCTAGGCATACCTTTCTCATTCATGGACGCTTTGTCCAAAACGTATATGAGTTCATAGAGTCCTCCTACAGACCCAGAGCTGCTGTAGTGGGTTCCATAGGTTTCTAAAAATCCAAAATATTCTCCTTTTTCATAGGTGGTTGGCAGAGCTTTTATATCATCCAGAAAAGTTGTTGTCAGCATGACATCACGACTTCTCATCAAAAATCTGCCCAAGTGAACTATGCCTTTCACGTGCAGAAACAGTTTCTCCTATGTTATAGCCCAGTTAAAGAAGAGAAAGATGACTTTTAAGACTGTTATTTCAAATAAATCACAGAATTTATTTCCAGAAAAATAATCTTGTAGCATGAGGTACCACTTTGTTATGCTAGAATAATTAAACATAAAATACCATCTCTAGCAATTGTTGGTGAGGATGTACAACAACAAAAGTCTCAGACATTCCTGGTCAGAGTGTAAAATGAGAGTGCCACTTTGGAGAGCTCTTGGACAGTTTCTCATAAAGATAAATAAACATCTACCCATGACCAGCATTTCTACTCTCAAACACTCACCTGAGATCAGTGAAAATATGATCCACAATAAGACCTGCATAAGAACTTCATAGCACCAATAGTCATTGTCGCTTAAAATTGGAAATAGCTCAACTGTTCATCAACAGAGAAGTTGACAAGCAAATTCTGGTATATTCACCTAATGGAATGCCAGTCAGCAATCAAAAAGAACAAATAACTGATAGATGCAACAACACAAATAAATCTCAAAAATTTGCTGAGTGAAAAAATTCATACACAAGGAAATATATACTGAATGATTCTATTTATGTGACATTCGAGAACTGAGAAGTCTGGTCAGGGGTGCCTTTCAGATGGGAGGGAATTAACTGTGATGGTCATGAGGAAATTCTCTTAGAGTGATGGAGATGCTCTGTATCTTGTTTGGAGATACATGTTCTATATTCTTATTGTTACAAAGATGTACACAATAATCAAAATTCATGGACCTATACATTTAAAAATCTTTGTATTTTATTCTAAGGGAGATATATCTCACTAAGTTGACTTAAAAACTATTAGCAATGGGAGGAAATGTAGATATTATATATCAAACTCAACCTTCTTATTTTGCAGACAAGGAAACTAATCCAAAGACATCAAGTTATTTCCCCCAAATCACAGAAATAGTTTGTGACAATATTTTAAAATGTAGGTCTGCAGTCACCCTGCTTCTTCTACTATGCCCTCTTAAACTTCAGTGACAGATATAAGAGAGACAATATTTTCAAACATGAATCTTAAGTTCATTTCAACAACTCAGTTCAATGTTCCCAGAGCCAGGGATGGTGCTTTAAACTCCCAAGAGAAAGCTGGGGCAGTGAACCATGTGATTCAGTGCTTTATCCCATTCCAGCCAAAACTCAACTACAACCATCAACAGATTTCATAGATGGATCTTCTGAGAGTCTCCTGCTGTTGTGTGGTTGTCATATGGTAATTATGAGGGCATTTAAATAATTTACTTCTTTCTAAGGGTACAACTTGTTGTATAGTGCCATGACACTGAGCTTTCTGTATTTTACAAGCATGTTGTTCATATAACTTAATTTTAGGTGACAGTGGGCATGTTAGCACCTAACAAGAATCTTATAGGAACTTACTCCACATTATCACAAAGTCATAGGAACTTTCCATCTTCCAGTTTTCATGATAATTCTCAATGGAGAGTCAAAGATGCACAAAGTGTATTAGGATTCCTTTTTATTGTTGCTAAAACTAGGAAGTATGCCAAGATTTGGAGTCAGAAAGACATGATGTTCTTTGGTTCAATTTACTTCAAAGGTAAGTCTGAGATCATTTCCATTTAAGACTGCTGATACTCTTCCATCTTAAATACGCTGTTATTCCTTCACCTTAAAACAATAATAAAATATTCTCTTGACCTCCCTTGCCTGACCAGTACTACCCATTTTCTTGCCTTTATTAAAAGCAATATTCCTTGCAAAATTTTTATACTTTCTATTTCTGATTCCTTTCTTCTCAATTTCTCTTAAATCTTATTCAATCAGGCTGCTGCCTTCACTGAGATAAAACTTGTCTTGTCAAGGTCGTCAATGACCTTCATAAACTGAAGGCCAGTGATCACCAGCCTCATCTTTCACATATTAGCACATTTGACACAGGCCTTCACTCTTTCCTCTTCAGTAGTTTCTTTTCTTATCTTAAGACAGTGCTTCTCAAACTGTAAAAGGTGAGCAGGTCATCTACAGCATGTTGTTACAATGCAGTTCTGATATACCTGATCTGGGGTGGAGTCTGAAGTCCTAGCTCCCAGGGTGTAGCTGCCGCAGGGCCACAGGCCACATTGAGTAGGCAGGTTCTAGAGCATTACACTGATCACTTCATAGTTCCCTTTGCTGGTTTCTCTTCTTTTTACCAAATTTGTTTCCATTGAAATCCCCCAAATATAGCCATGATCTTCTAAGTCTGTTGGTGCTTTCATGAAGCCCTATGATTTATAGTGCCATCTGCATGTCAGCCACTCTTAAATTCCAAACTCCAGACTCATGACATCGACTTCCTACCTGGCACCTCCAATTGAACATCTAATAGATGTAAATAAAAGTGGACTCTGGTTTTCCTTTCAACTTTTTCCACCTGACGTGTTCTCCATGACCACCTCCATCCTGCTAGTTTCTCAGGCCCCAAACCTTGGAGTCGGGTTTGAATGTAACCGGGCCCTCTGAGCTGCCATTGTTTCCCAGTGGATTCTGGCAGCAGCTGTAACACGCCTCCTTGCTTTTGCTCTTAGTACCCCATACTCTCGTCTCAATGGAGTACCAAGAGCCCACTTTAACTGTAAGAGACAATGTCAGTGATCAATTCTGAAACCCTCCAGTGACCTCAGAGGAAAAAAGTTGCCTTTTACAATGGCTTTAGAGGCCCTGTGTGATCTGATTCAAGGTGACTTATCTAATCTTTTCTCCCCCTGGTTCAGTATGACTGGGTTATTGCATCAGGTTTTTTTCTACCTTGGAGATTTGTCTCTAGCATTTCCATCTTCCAAATACATCATCCCAAATCTGTATGGAGATTTCCTCTCCTTCAAATCTTTGCTCAGATCTCATCTTAATGAAGCCGGCACTGAGCTTTCTTTTTAAGGCTTTTGTCTGCTGGGTACTCCTGATTTCCCTCAGCACTTATCACTTTCTAAATATGTATAGTTTCTCTTCTTTGTTATTATATTTATTGTTTTTGGCTGTCTCCCTCTGCTGAGCTTTTAGCTACATGAGGACATGAATCTTTTGTTGGTTTGATTCACAGAAGAATTCTAAGTACTTATGACAGTGCATGGCCAGCTAGTAAATCCACAATTAAATATTTATTGAATGATTAAAAGGATTTCCAACCATACACTTTGGGTGCATATGCATGTGAATGTAGAGGCCATTTATAGACCCATACAAAGCAAGTACATAATTAAGTGTAGTATAAATACTACAAGTGATATACTAGTACTACTACTAATAATTGCATGAGAGAAAGGTGTCAAAATAGGTGACTGTGGTATCCGAAAAGGAAGAATGAACATTTTATCAGCATCATATTGGTTATATTAAAGAATATTTTATATTTATCTCAAAGGTGGTGAAAAGTACAGTGAAATCCAGCTTTAATATTAAAGAAAAACATTTTTAAAATCTCAGATTAAAGGTATGATTACAAAGTTAGCAGACCAATTTTATGTGTAATGTGTACAATTATACAACATCATTACTTTAGAGACACACTTTATAGTAAGCAAATCGTCATTGTTCTAAGGCATTGTAATAACAGAATTTCTCAGTTTAATTATTCATTGTAATTATGATAATTGTATAGTTTGAATGGCTTATTACCACAATCTCAGTCAAAAAGTATGCACTGAATTATTTTAGAACAGATTCTTCATTCACTACCCCCAAATGTGTGACTTACTAACTATTGTCTGGGACTCTATCAATTTTCTCTGCTTGGTATTTTCCTTCCTGATGTTCTAGCACTATATTTGAAGATTTGATGTATCTTGGTTTATTTTTCTCTCTTAAGATCTTTATCTGCTCTAAATACTTAAACAGGGGGCTTGGTTAGTTTGAAATACATCCCACTATATTCTCTATGTCAAGTACCTGATCTTACCTTCTTGGAAGAATGTGAGAATAATTGTTGATAAGTTTCATTTTTGAAATAGGAAATCCAAGACTACTCCAGAATTTTCCAGGATTTGAAGAAACTGTTTCTTGAGACTTCTCAGCTTCATTTTTATTTGCTTCAGTAGGTGTAACTTTTATTGCTAAATTTGCATTAAAATTTGATATCCTCTCTTGGATGATACTTCTGAATATTTCAATCTGTTCTTCAAAATTTTCAATTCTGAAATTTTTATCGACCTTGGTCTAAAAGAATATAGCAAAATGTTATATTCTTAAAAACAAACAAAAATCAAGCAGTTACTTGGAAGGTAGTAGAACAAAGGAATTAACAGAGTCAGATTCAAATACAGGCTCTGTGACTTTGAGGATGTTTACCAACATCCTCTTTGTGCATAGTCCAACTTCTAGACTGGAAAGTGGGGATACTCATCATACCTACCCCAAATACTGTTATGAGACTTCAGTGAGATAATCCTTCTCACTGAATAAAACAAACTCTCAAAAGTTAATATATCAATAACTTTGGAAAGTTATACAACAGATATATGTATGTGAAAAACACTTATGTGAAAAGCAAAAGAATAAAGTAAACATACTGAAGGCCTATGGGCCAGCACTCTTTATACACATTAATGGATTCATGTAGGAAGGCTAGGATATAAGCCTGGAGCTTCCTGGCTTCAAAAAATGTTCTTTTATTTTTTCCTCCTTAACTGCTGAGGAGGATCCACAGCCAATGTGAACGGCACCTTTACGAGCCGACCAACTCATTCATTTAGAGGCAACAATGGTTATCAAGGTCCTTCACCCTGGGAAGGCAATGACACCTGTGACAGAAGTTCAGGAAAAAACAGCCAAAATGCCCAAGACCACGCTGGATGAAATCTTTGTATTTGGACTCAGAGCCCATTTTAATGGTAGCAAGACAACTGGTTTTGGCATGATTTGTGATTCCTTGGATTAAGCAAAGAATAATGGACCAAACACACACTTGTGAGACATGGCCTCTATGAGAAGACAAAGACCTCAAGAAAATATCAAGAGGAATGCAAGAATAGAATCAAGAAAGTCATGAGAACTACAAAGGTCAAAGTAGGTGTTGGCAAAAAGCCAAGGGAGTAAAGGTTGTGCAGTGATTAGGCAAATTTTTCTGGAGAGGATTAATAAACTGTAAAAGTATCAAAAAATTGTTTTTCTAACCCTTGTACACCACGACTTATCAGAAGAAGAAATGTTTTAACCTGCACTCAAATTTTCTAGAAAATACTACAGTGTTTCCCTTGAGAAGGAAAAATGTGAGATGGGAATCTACAGGGGTGCCGGCTCACTTTTCTTTGAACAATCTTTTTCCTGACTTTTTAAATCACATGCATTTTTGCATAAAGACAACATAAACTAAATAACCTGGTGAAAAACACGTGTGGTAGTACACATCTGTAATCCCACCAGTAGAGAGTCAGAGGCAGGAGGATTGTGAATTTGAGGCTGGCGTGGGCTACACAGAGACCTGGTCTCAGTAAACTAAAATCAACAAAACCCCCAGATCAAATCAACCTCATTAAAAATTAAAACTAGTCAATTAAAATAATCTTTGGCAACTTGGTTACAGTCAAGGATCAGTGTGCTATGGTTTGGATAGGGTTTGAGCCCAAAGTTTCATATGCTGAAATTTAATATTTATTGTGAGCTACTAGGAGGGCAGAAACATAATCTGATTATGGTGCTTAAAGGTTGAGGCCTTTGGTCGTTGCTGGGAGTTCCCATAATGAGGTTCTTCATCTTTGGACCTCCAGAACCATGAGCCAAAATAAGTCTGTGGTGTTGTGTTACTTGCAACAGAAAATGGACTAACAGAACTTTCTCAAAAAAAGAAATTCAAATGGCCAAAAAACACATGAAAAAAATGCTCACCATCCCTAGCAATAAAGGAAATGCAAATCAAAACCACACTAAGATTTCACCTCACCCCTGTTAGAATAGCCATCATCAGCAACACCACTAACGACAGGTGTTGGCAAGGATGCGGGGAAAAAGGAACCCTCTTACACTGCTGGTGGGAATGTAAACTACTACAACCACTCTGGAAAAAAATTTGGAGGCTTCTTAAAAATCTAAACATTGATCTACCATTTGATCCAGCAATACCACTCTTGGGGATATATCCAGAAGACTGTGACACAGGTTACTCCAGAGGCACCTGCACACCCATGTTTATTGCAGCACTATTCACAATAGCCAAGTTATGGAAACAGCCAAGATGCCCCACTACCGACGAATGGATTAAGAAAATGTGGTATTTATACACAATGGAATTTTATGCAGCCATGAAGAAGAACAAAATGTTATCATTCGCTGGTAAATGGATGGAATTGAAGAACATCATTCTGAGTGAGGTTAGCCTGGCCCAAAAGACCAAAAATCGTATGTTCTCCCTCATATGTGGACATTAGATCAAGGGCAAACACAACAATGGGATTGGACTTTGAGCACATGATAAAAGCGAGAGCACACAAGGGAGGGGTGAGGATAGGTAAGACACCCAAAAAAGTAGATAGCATTTGTTGCCCTCAATGCAGAGAAACTAAAGCAGATACCTTAAAAGCAACTGAGGCCAATAGGAGAAGGAGGCCAGGAATTAGAGAAAAGGTTAGATCAAGAAAAATTAACCTAGAAGGTAACACATGCACAGGAAGTCAATGCAAGTCAACTCCTTGTATAGCTATCCTTATCTCAACCAGCAAAAACTCTTGGTCCTTCCTATTATTGCTTATACTTTCTCTTCAACAAAATTAGAAATAAGGGCAAAATAGTTTCTGCCGGGTATAGAGGGGTAAGAGGGGATAAGGAAGGGGGCGGGGGAAGGGGGGAGAAATGACCCAAACGTTGTATACACATATGAATAAAATAAAAATTTTTTAAAAATGGACTAATATACAATGAGAAGGTTGTTAATATTAGCAGCAGTTCATCCCCCTTTTCTGAAACAGGTATAACTCTTGTCCAGGAAGGGGGATGGGACACCTGTCCTTTGGGCAGTGGCATTTGTTGGATTCAGGAGCATACATCGGGTAGCTATACTGCAGGGAAACATAAAGTTATTACTGTCTAATGCAAAGAGTAAAATGTACATAACTATCTTTAAAACAAGTCTTGCTTGTCAATATCCAATAAAACAGGGAAGAGTAAATTATCATTGCTGCTTCCCTACTTAGAACCTTCCAGTGTCTTCCCACTGACTTTAAAGATAAAATTCACTAGCCGGGTTCCAAGTTAATCCCTCCCTGACTGTGAGTCAGTCATCAAGCCAACTTTATATTTTATATAACCCATGCTCCTTTTCACCACAGGACACCTTTATTTTGCTTTTATTTTCTAGAATATTCTTACTCCCCTCCCTCAATCTTCTCATAACATCACACAAACTTGCACACACAGGAAAAAACATACCTTTTGGCTTGGTTAATTCCTACTTTTGTTTCAAGTTCTAGCATACATATCACTTTTTCAGAGAGGCTTCTCTTAATCTCACAGACTTATAAATCTTTCTACTCTAAGCTTTTTTGGGGATCCTCTTTTAAAAAAGAATACAACAAAAAACCACATATCTTCTAATCACTTATTAAATAGACATTCAGAATGTAAGCTCTGTGAAGCCAAGAATCATACCTGTCTCCTGTCATGGCCATAGCCTCAGCACTTAGTAAAATGTCTGGCACAATGAAAACATATTAAACTTAAAATTCAGACTTAATAATAGCTAATAATGATAATTTGTATGTATTGAGTGCTACTGTGTTCAAGATGCTGTGAAAAGTGACTTACTAAAATGGCTGAATAAGACATTTTAGTGCTTGTCTCCTTGCAGAAGCACATTCATTTGAATAACTATCTATACATATAAACATATTCATAGGAGCTGAGGAAGCCAGGTAAGACATTATAGACCCTGGGTATAGCAAAGAAATAAAAGATCCATGGAAGAGGGAAAGAAGGACAATTTCACATTACCATTGTCACCTCTCTCAACCCCAGGGAACCTCTCCCCATGGTGGAGAGAGATACCCTTCTCATGGGGAAAGACAGTGAAGTGAGTACTGGGCTTTGCCTTGAATCCCAGCAAGATACAGTGCCAGGCAGATTCCCAAACTCTTGGCCAAGAACTGTGGACTGAGCCTCTAGCCTACTCTGGTGCCAGGCCAGACCTATAGCCCAAGGCTATAAACTGGCAGTTCTAAACTCCAAACTATTCTCCACAGATACTACTTCCAGGCTAGCCACTACAGCCGGAGGACACTGGCCTACCCCTGTGAACTTGGTCTCTAAGATCACCTCAGTGCTAAGTTGCCCACCAAAGCTCCAGAATCCAGAATGAAATATTTGGACCCAGGGTCAAGGCTCTCCCTAGCACCAAGGCACTATTCAAGGACCTTAGCTCCAGGTCACCCCCTGCTGACCCAGTACCCATCTACCATAATGTCAGGTCAGTATTTGCAGCCTTGGACTCCAGGATCATCTCAGCACTAGGAGATCCCCAGAGGATTTAGGCTCCAGGCCCACCCAGTACTAGGGCAGCCCCAATGAACCTAGGCTCCAGGTCAGCCCGTGTGGACTCAGACTTTATATAGGTTCAGTGCTAGACTGGCTTACATATCCCCAGATTTTAGGTACACTCCAGTGCAAACCTAGCCCTTGCAGTCCCAGACTGTAAGCTACCATTTAGGACCAAGCAGAAACTGGCCACATCCCAGCACTGAGTCAGCACCCATAGACCTCCACATCCAGGCTAGCCCCATGGCCTCAGGTACCACCAGGTCCGCATCTACAGACTTGGTCTCCATGCTGGTCTCTGTAGACACAGGCTGTGTCCACTCAGTGACAGGCTGGCCTCCATGGACCCAAGACCCCAACCGCTAGCAGAGACCCAGCCTCCTGGCTCATTCCAGCACAAAGATGATTCCCATGTCCCCAGGCTCCATACCGATCCTCATGGACATAGACCGCAGGCCCGTCACCAGCACTCTCAGCCTCTAGACCAGATTCACAGACCCAAGATAGTCTCCACAGCTCCAGGATCCAGTGGACCCAGCATCTAGGCCAGCTAGCATGAGAACTTCAGTTTCAAGTCTACCTGTGGACCATGTCAGATGGCCTGCCCAGAATCTCTGGACAGGCTTACTGGCTAAGGGCATTCTGAAGGCAGGCTGTAATGACTGGAATAGTGTCTATTTTTTTCAAATATGCAGTCATTCATGGCTACAAGGATCTCAAATACTCAGGGAAACATGTTACCACCAAATGCACAAAATAAAGAACTAATAGCCAACTCTAAAGAAATGGTGATTTATAGACAGCCTGACAAAGAATTTGAAATGATCATTTTAAAGTAATTCAGGAAGCCATAAGAGAACATAGACAAGTAAATGAAATCAGAAAAACTATACATGAACAAAATTTGAAATTTGTATAGAGATGTAAATTATAAAAAATAACCAAACAGAAATTCTGGTGCCAAACAAGTAAAAGACCATATAGAGCTTCAAGAGCAGACTTGCCTAAATACAAAAAAAAAAAAAAAAAAAAAAAAAATCCATGAGCTCAAAAATAGGTCATTTGAAATTGCTCAGTCAAGAGGAAAAGAAAAAGAGTGAAAAAGCATGAAGAAATCCTGTGGGAATTATGCATAGCATAATTAAGATTTCCAGAAGGAGAATGACAGAGAAAGGGGCAGAAAGCTTATTAAAAGAATAGTGACAGAAGACTCCCCATATTTGCAGGTGGAAAGGAACATCCAGATCTGCAAGTCCTAAAGAACCACAAATAAATTAAGTATAAAGGGGTCCTCACTAACATCTTAACATCAAAAAGCCACCAAGCAAAGAGAATTTTGAAAGCAATAAAAGAAAAACAACTCATACAAGGGAACTCCCGTGACTATCAGATTTCTCAGCAGAAATCTTGCAGGCTGGGAGAAAGTGGGACAATATATTCAAAGAACTGAAAAAAAATATCTGCCGACCAAGAATATTATACTTGGCAATTCTATTCTTCAGAAAGATAAGGACTTTCCTTGACAATCAAAAGCTTGGGAGAGCATCTCCATTGTATCTGCCTTACAAGAGATACTAGGGGGAATTCTTCAAGCTGAAAGAAAAAGTGCTACTTCATAATATGAAAACTTGTGAAAGTATAAAACTCACTGGTAAAGTAAGTACACAGTCAAATTCAGAAAACTCTAATTCTACAATAATGATGTGTAAATCATGTATATCTTTAGTATAAAGGTTAAAAGACAAACCTATTAGAAGTAATAATAGCTATAATAATTTTTATAGGATACACAATGTAAAGTTATGTAAATTATGATATCACAAGCAAAAAGTGTACAAATAAAAAGTGTATAATTTTTATGCTATTCAAGTTCAGTTGCTATCATCTTAAAATAGGCTGTTACAATTATATTTTATGTAAGACTTATGATAATTCATGGTAACTACAAAGCAAAAATCTTTAGTAAAAACACAAAATATAAAAAGATAAGAACAACACTAGAAAAAAATCTAATCACAAAGGAAGACAAGAGAGGAAATAAGGAACAAAAGGACTTCAAAAATAAGAAAACAATGAAATGATAGTAGAAGTCCTTACTTGTCAACAGTTACCTTGAATGCAAATAGATTAGATTGTCAAATCAAAAAACACAGAGTGTCTGACTGGATAGAAATCATAAGACCCAACCATGTTTATGTTGCTTATGAGGTATTTACTTTACCTTTAAGGTTATATGTTGATTGACAGTAGAGGGATAAAAACATATAATCCATGTAAATGGAAACCATAACAGAGCAGGGGTAGGTAAACTTATGTCAGATAAAATAGACTTTGAGAAAAAAACTCTAAAAAGAGATAAAGTCTTTATATAATGATAAAGTCATCAACTCATCAACAGGATTGTTAAATATATTTGTACCCCAAATCAGAATACCAGAATATATAAAGCAAATAATATTAGATCTGAAGAGACAAACTAAATACAATAGTAGTGCAATACTTTGATATGCCATTTTTAACGATGGAAAGATCATTCAGAGAGAAAATCAGTAAGGAAGCATTGGAGTTGAACTACATGTTAGACCAAATGGACTATAATTCTGAAGGCTAATGGAGAGACATTCACCAATTTAATCAGTGGAATGATGTAATCAGGTTTATTATATATCTTTGCCGTGATGTGTGATTCAATCAGCTACTCTAACTTCCTTTCTCCTAGAAAAGTAGCTTTAGGGCTGGAGGTGCGGCTCAAGTGGTAGAGCGCCTGCTGTGTAAGCTCAAAGCCCTGATTTCAAACTCCAGTCCCTCCAAAAAATAAAAGATAGCTTTAATAATGATAACTAACTTCAGATTTTATGGTTTTAATATACATTTGCATGAACAAAATCTTCATGGCATCCTCAACCATTTCCTCCACTTTCTATTTCCAATTGCTCTCTAAACCTTCTAAATTGAGAAAAACTAGAACTGCAAGCAGATGAGACTGTCGTAGTATTCTAGATGAGAGATGATGGGAGTCTGAGGCAGTGACAGTGGGAATGGAGAATAAAACAGATTTAAGAGACATTACAATGTTAAACCTTGAAGAGATCTGCTATGGTGGGATTTGAGGGTGATAGGTCTGGAAAAGAAGTCTTAAGGAAGGCTTGCAGGATATGAGTTTGATGATTAGAAAAATATTGATTCCTCTTCCCAAGTAAGGAAAGTCACGAGTAAGAAGAAAGGTATTGAGAGTAACATTGGCTATCATTTACTACCCTATTGTAGCTTCAACTCTAATCCTGGGTGGCCTCCAGCCCTCACCCTTGTGTATCACAGAAGTTATCACCTCTGTAGAGAAGCTAAGAGGCTGGTCACAGTGGTGAAGATAGGGAAACCATAAAATGAAGACCTGAAAATTCAAAACAAAATAAAAACAACACAATAGTAACCTTTCTCCCATCAACAATGACCAAGGTTGCCACATACAATCTATTCAAGAAATTACTTTTTAGATAGATTATTGTCTTCCCTCATAAAATTTTTGCCTAAAAGGAGGCAAGCATGGCACTACAGAGAAACATGAACAACTCAAAAGCTTTATGATTTGTGGGAAATTGGTTTTATTCTGGACTTATGAATGAAGAAAGACAACAATGTGGTCACATGTGAACAAAGTGCCAATCAAATGTTCAGGTATTAAAGTGTTTAGTATCCGTAGGAGAACAGGAAAGCTTCAGGCTGCAATGGGGAGGGACTGTTTTTGAAAAAGGAAGATTGATTACATCTACTTAAAAGTATATATGTTCACAAACTGGTGGGACTGACATCAACACCGAGAGCTTTGTCATAACAGGATAAAGTGAACATATGGGCCTTCTTCACTAACAGAACCATTTCTAGAAACAGATTATTACAGCCTGGCACAGAAAAAGCTGATTATTCTTTATTTTACCTTCCTTGGATCAAAGAAGGGGGGTTGAGTGGGGGTTGGATCTAGTTTATGGATGTTTGAGGCAAGTGAAAACAACCACTCACATTGTATTCTCTACAAAGAGGAACGAAGGAGAACAAACAGAAAAATGGTTTTGATGATGGGGAGGGTGGAAAAAAAGAGAAAAAAGTAACATGAATTCAGTGTGGTCACTACCTAAATCAGCACTAATTTAATTTTTTTCTTTTTTGTTATTGTTGTACTGGGGGTACATTGTGACATTTGCAAAAGATTTTGTAATATATCAGAGTTGAAGTCACCCCCTCCATTTTTCTCTTTTTTTCCCCCTCACCCAATTCCTGGAATAGTTTCAACCCCTCAGGTTGTTGTTTTGACAGAGTCTAGGTATTTGCCAAGTCTGTATCACTAGTGAATGTTACTAAGGATTGATTATAGACTGCTATATTTTTCTAAAGAAATCCAAGCTCTTTTTCTTTAAAAGTGAGTCTTAGCTTCACATGAAATTCTTTTCTATTGAATTTTTCACTGTAACTAGTATTAAATTTATTGAAGCCGTGTTCAGCCAAAAGCTGAAACAATGTGTTTTCTCCTGAGGAGACTTACTTCATAAGCCAAAAATGCCACATTCCAAGGTTTTCGGTAGTATGTCAACGTGTTTCCATCCCGAACCCGGTCACAGAGGCCGTTGTAGAATTCATTGTCAAAAGGTGTGCTTAAGGGATCCATCCCTAAAATGTTGATTCTGAGAGTAAACAGAATAGGATTAGGCATGGCAATAGCATAGCTAATGTGAGGCAGACCTCTGTAGCCAGGGAAAGTGAGACAGCTGCGGTTCATGTCACAGTCACCCAACATGTGTGCGGTATAATCAGGAACAGAAGCAAGAGATTGTTCACTTTGGCTCTGTGACTGGCAGAAAGCATACCTTAGGAAGGCCTTATAAACGCTTCGGCAGTGAGGGCACTGGTTAGAGTACAAAGAAAGAAAGGCAGTAAGTAGGCGCATGGGACCCTCTGGCTCCTAGAGTCTTTAATTCCACTGCCGTAACTCTTACCTAACCTCCCTTAGCGAACTACGAGCCAATGCTGAAAAGCAACTATGTGAATTATTTAAAACAGAGCATCTCAAGGGGGTAGTACAACATATGCATGCAATTTTTCATCTACGAATCAATGTTGGGTCTCTCTCTCTCTCTTTCCTCTCTCTCCCTCTCCCCATTCTCTTTAAACTTAAGCCTTTTCCTCCAGCTGTCTCATTGCTTGTCAAGAACCTCACTCTCCTCAAGCTTATATTATTCCTATTATACTTTCCAAGATGAACACAAACATTTCAGTATCTCTGCAAGGCATTCTCAAAAGTTCTACATTTTTCCTCCAGCAAGATGTTTTTATTTGGTGAGCTTTAATTCATAAGTAGGAATCTTGTTTAGTTTTTTAAAAAGTTAAGTTTGACTAGAAGGCTTAAAAACAATATACACACAGGAAGTACTTAGCTCTTTGTGAAGTACACCTTCATTAATTGGAGGACCATAGTCATTGCTGTCTAGGACGTATCTGGAATAAACGGTGCTGAAATAGGGAGGCCAAAATGGACCCTCATACTTGTAACTTAATTTGGCATAGAAGCATACGCTTATCCATTGCTTTAGGCCATGTTCCTAACTCCAGTGATCTGTATCATGAATCTAGATACTGGATGCCAGAGAAATATGTCAAAGAACGTAGGTGCTTTGTCCAAAACCCATCACTAATGCCAAAAAAATGGAAAGAGTATCTTATTATCAGTGGATAGGTTAAAAACAACCTGCGCACATAAATAGTATATTTTAAATAAATTCTCAATCTATGAAAATATAAACATTTTGGTTAAGCTTTAAGGGAAGGCAAGTGAAGGAACTGCTATGTGGATATCTTTCTCAAAGCTGAGGTGCAGATAAAAATTAACTGTCTCATACTACCTATTCCACCAAAAATACCTTTTTTGGCAAATACTATGGCCCCAAATTCTAATATAAGCCCCAAGTTATAACTTGAGTAGGTGACAAAAACATGTGTGGCTGGTTTACTTTCTTTAACATTTTATCCTTTGTAGTAGGCTAACATTTTCATCCTAACTATTCACCCATCCCTGCATCCACACCCTCCCATGGCATCATCCTAGTGGCTTGTAAATGAAAGTAACAGTAGGCCACTGCAGAGCCTGGCATGAAGAGGCTTCATGTGCCTTTTTTTGCTTTCTTGTAATTGTGACATTGCCTTGAGAATGGCTTCTGATGGATAGCTGCTGTTTCTTCAGCCTGTCTACTTCAGCAGCCCCAGCCTCTACCCAAGCTGCGGTGAGAAGCAAAGCCATCCCAGCCATGGCAGCTTGAGGCAGAGCTGCAAACCAAATCCAGTCTTGTGAGCAACTAATTCTCACCTTCGTTTCACTGAGGTTTTGATGCAATTCTTCTAATCCAAAGACATACAACACTGGAAAGAAATGATAGGTGTTTGCTTCTCAACTACATCTTTATTTGATAATGAACTCTATTCTGTGTATTTGCATTAAAGAGACCCTATATCCCTTTACTTTCAGTGAGCAGTAAGCTAACCCGTCTTTCTAATGATCGCCAGCTCTTAGGTGATTGCTACATCTATATGTTGTATTGTGTTTATAATAAATAGATTGTACTCAATAAGCAATCTCTGCTCTTTGGAAATTTACTTGGGAGTTGGGAATTTGGACATACAATTGCCTACTTTAAAAAAAAACTGGGGATATAGTTGTGTCAAATGAATGGTACATGATGTATGCATCGAGTCTTCTAAGAAATAGATCACCATGAGAAGGTGAAAACAGAGTTTTGGAAGAAGGCTCGACTTGAGTTTTAAAGGGCAGGTAAACTGAGATGGGACTGGAAGGACCGTGGGGATGAAGTGGGACAGACCTGCAGGTGGGAATGGGTAAGGCATGTTTTGGGCAGTGTTCTCCCAGATTTTGTGCTTAGATACCTTATTTTGATAAACTGTACTTTCTAGTAATTTTCAGTGTGATAGCTAGTATTTTTCATCTTAAGCTTAAATAGTTGCAAAGTATATAATTTCTCAGCATACTATAGGTATTTACTTAAAAATGTTTTACACTTTAAAAAATAAATCTGATAAACATAAATGCTATAATGATGGTGGATATCAATCTCCAACAGAATTTTAACTTAATATAATGTAGTTTATGTCTGAATGTTTTGTTGGTCACCTTGTCATACTTTTCTAACCAAACATATTATTTTTAAAAATTATTGGCATAAATTAATTGTACATTAATATTCATGAATATTTATATTCATGAATATAATTTACTTTTAACAAATTCACCCCATTTATATTATTGTTTATTAACTCCCTCTCCTTTTTAACAGCTTTAAATGAGTTTCATTATATTAATTTCATATATGTATATATATATAATGTACTTATGTCATAGTCAGCCCTGGTTACCCTCTCCTTGTTCCCTTCTCCCAGATTTCCCCATAAACAGTCCTCGTTTTACAATCATGCCATATTATTATTACTTTTTTTTAGGTCTAGATTCTATACATGAAAGAGAACGTGATATTTGTCTTTCCGAGCTTGGCTTACCAAACAGACATTAATTTGAATTTTAAAATACTAAATATCCTTTGACTATAGACTCTAAATATTTAAAAATCCTTTATTATTTGTACTATATATAAGTATGATAAAAATTTTAAATCATTGCTCAACACAAGTAAAATTTTATTGGAAAGCTATCTCAATGAAAGGAATGGGGCTTCTTTTCAAATTAGTAAATCAGTTTCTGCTTCTGTGGATGAATACTACTTAGTGCTAAGAAGAGAAAGAGTCAGGCATCAATTTTATTTCTACTTTCCATTTTTATAGATGTAAGTGCTGATAAACTTTACTCACATCAATAAGTAGATAAGAACAGAAGGAACTTTGTTACAGCAATGTTACTTGATTCTTTTATTTTTTTCTGAGTTATATATAAAAAATTTTAAATTATTTTTATTAAAAATGATTATTTTTTGCCAATACTAGGGTATGAACTCAGGGCCTTGCATTTGCTAGGCAGGTGCTCTGCCACTTGAACCACATCCCCAGCCCTTTTTCTTTTAGGTTATTTTTTAGACAGGGTCTTACATTTTTGCCAGGGGCCAGGCTAGACAGAGATTACCTACATACAGCCTTTTGCATAGCTGAGATCATAGGCACACACCATTATGCATGACTTATTTGTTGACACAGGGGTCTTGCTAATTTTTTACCCATGTTGACCTTGAACTGTGATCTCCCAATCTCTGCCTCCTGAGTAGCTGGGATTACAGGCATGAGTCACTATGCCCAGCTAAAAATTATTTTTATAGTTCATTAACTGATAATTGATTAGCACATCTTTCAGTAGTAAGGATTTTTAAAAAGTTGGTAACTATTGAATTTCCAAGGCATTAATTTAGAGTACCAAGATTTGACATCTGGTCTTGGTTTTTCCACCCTATACTAAAGTATGTGATAGGAGAGAGGTTACACTACTTTTTTGAAAGTAGAAGATACATGTAATAATAATAAAAAGAGAAAAGAAAGGAGAATGGGTTCCACAACTTGAACGCAGTTGAGTTGTCAAGCTTACCAATTTTATGCAAAAAATGTACACCTGGAGGTTGAGGATTGGTTAAATGATTAATAGTTGAAGCTATTACCTTAAAACTTTCCTGAGCCCCGCCCCCTTGGAAAGCTTTTGTGTACCCCTGCTATGCACATCTTAGCATGAAAGTTATTGTTCTACAGAAAAGCACACTGACCAGTTGGTTGGGTCCTTCTGGAAAGTTAACAGTGAAGTTGATACATGGTCTAAAGCCCAGCGAAGGAAGAGATGTTTCAAAAGCTTTTGACTTGATTCCGCTACTACAGAGACAGCCAGTCTAGTCTAGAACAAGCCAAGTTTTTCTGCCAAGAAACATGAAAACTTCTCATGGACAGAAAGTCATCACCTGGGTAAATTTTTAAAAAAGTGTTTTCGTTGGCATTGCATAGAGATGCCTGCTTCCACAGGTTCTAGATGCCTGCATCTGGAACCACAGGCAGATCCGATTTGCCAGGTGAACGGATGAGACAGCTACCTCCACAGAAGGAGGTAGCTTAGATCACAAAAAAGTAATTCCCTGCATTTTGCACATCATTTACAACTGGTTTGCATTTATGTGTTTTCAATGACTACAAGATGGGTTGGAGGATATCCCTAAACACTTTGAGAGGATCTCAGATGCCTGTAAGAAAAGAGGCTGAAACATTTGTGATACAACTAAATTCTCCTGGTGTAATAATTTATAGGTGAGAGTCCTTTGAATGAAAAAGTATAAATTCATTGCATGGAGTGCCTGTGATTTTCCTATTTAAAAGAATCTGACTGTATTCACTTGCAGATTGGATTCATTGAGATTTTCCAGAGTAAATTGAGCAGTAGTAGTTTTTATGACTAGGTCATGCACTCCCATCATCTCTATTTCACATATACTCCATAGTTCTACACAATAGTAATGGAGATTTATAGTAATTAATATTTGGTATTATGGTATTAAAGATTATAATAAAATATTATAATTATAATTATATAATATATTATATAACAACACATTACATAATAATATAATACATAATAATTTATTATAACAATATATTGTACAATAAATAAGATAATAATTATATTGATTATATCATACAATTAATCATTATCTATTATATTATATAATTATTATCTGATATTATATAATATTATATTATATTTTATAATTATAAAATAAATATATTATAATTGAATAAGCATGTCATTTGGAAATAAAGCATATTGCTCTTAAATACTAATTGCCAATTTACATTTCTATATTCTTAATTCAGATATTTGAGTAATTAATACTTAAGGAGTTTCATTTTTTTAAGGTTAGATATGCTTTTCAGATAATGTATTGGCTTTGGGCTTTGGAGTAGCATGGAGAAATGTGGGGGTGAGTGTTGTGAGCAGAAAAAGAGGGGTAAGGGGCATGGTGGAAAAATATAGTTTTACATGAGTCAGAAAAACATGGATTTGGTTCTGTGAAAAACTAGACAAATGGCTCCAATTATTTCATTTAGTTTTTATTTGCAAAGTAAATATAATAATCTTCTAACAACCTCACAGGATTATTTTGCAAATCTATACAGATGGAATGTGTAAAAAGATTTTGAAAAGTTTAAGGTATTATGAAAACAAGAGTAGTTATAAAACTGTAAGTTTTATGAAGGCTACAGTGGTTACAGGGTTTTGCTCATAGTAATGGGGAATTTAATAAAAAATGTTGATGGACTGATCTATCAAGCCTACCTCATTTCCCACTTCTGCAGCTGGCCTTTCTCATAACTGAGTCCCTTCCTCTTAGCCTTGAAGGCTTAGCCTTGTGATGTTCCCCAACACTAACCCCCACCATGGGAAAGCATGAAATATGTAAGGCTTCTCTGCCAGCTCTCTGCCTGCCTTATTATGAAACTCCCTGGCAAATGCTATTTGACAAATTTTTCTTTCCCTTGAAAAAGGAAACCAATAGATTATGAATGATTATTTTACAGTCAAATGGGCCAAAATTTCTGTACTCTTTTCCTATAAGACAAACCATAAATTTGCATAGAGTGAGAATAAATAACATATGTAATTTCTTGCTTCGAGCTCTTGTGCTGAGATTAGGGAATCTTGGATCCCAAACAAAGCAAAAATAAAATAGTAATGGGCTTTCCCTATAAACTTACAATATCTCCCTGAGGAAAGCAGCGAAAAGACTTAGGGCTCATTCAAGCCTGGAGTTATGTGGTTATAAGGTTTCGGACTTCATACCATTTATGGCCACTTACTAAGAGGCCCTGCCAAGCTCCAGGCCCAAGACAAAGATTCCCACCTTTAAATTAAGGACAAAGACACTGTGGGTAATTTTTGAATGATACATGGACGAGATTTTATGAAGTAAAGAATGTGTGAAATACTTTATCTTGTGCCTGACTCTAAGCATCCTGAAATTTTGTTTTTATTTGGGGTTAAAGAAGTGGAAGTTTCATCTGGCCCAGAACAAGAAGACACCTTCACTTTTAGCCAAATCTGATGTGGGTATTTTATCTTAGGAACTGCCTGGTACCTTAGTGCAAGAGTTTCCAGCTCAGCACTACTAACATTTTGGCTTGGGTTGCCTTGTGTGTTGTAAAATGTTTAACGTCATGCCTGGTTAGAGACCAGAGACCCACGAGATGCCCATAGCACTCGCCACCCCAGGCCCTCTAAATCACAACTAATATAGTATGTGGACATTTCCAATGTCTTCTGGGGGAAATCATCCTGGATCGTGAACCTCTGCCTCTCTGTCAGCCTTGCTCTCTCCATCTCCTTCTCCTTTCCTCTCCCTATGCTTATTTCAGGTTCTGGAGTTCTGTACCTGAATTTCATTCCAGAAACTTAGTTTTAGTCTTACCTGGTGCCAATTGCCAGTATTTTATAAATCACTTATTTATAGAATTTCATTCCTTACTTAATTATTTATCTTCCCACCAAGTAATTGTTGCTCATTTACTGTGAATCAGGCACTAAAACTGAGGTTAAAGAGACACATTACAGGCTGGGTATGGTGGCTCATGCCTGTAATTCCAGCTACTTAGGAGGCAAAATTTGGGAGGATCATGGTTCAAGGCCAGTCTGGGCAAAAGTTAGCAAGACCCCATCTCAATCAATAAGCTGTGTGTGGTGGGTGCTGGAGACCCTGAGGGAGAGAATCATGGTCTGAAGCAAATCTCAGGCAAACCTGTGAGACTACTTGAAAAATAGCTAAAAGAAAAAAGGACTGGGGATATGGCACAATGGGTAGAGAACATCTGCCCAGCAAGCATGAGGCCTCCAGTACCACAAAAAAAATAAAGACAGACACATTACATTATAAGTGGTGAAACTGAACCATTTCACCTCTGTCAATATAACACTGTGTGTAGAAACAGACAGACTCACCCAGCTCAGGACAACTGACATCCCTGAGATGCCTGTGACTATGTGGAACATAATAGAACAGAACCTCACATCCATGTAGTTTTCCCAATTCCTGGAACACAAATCTCTGCAGTGTCATCTCTATTGCTCTTGGCCCTGACTTCTAAACTCCAGGACTCCCCTTAGACCTGTCCAGAATCACTTTGCTTTGTATGAAAAATGAGCAGCATGTCAGCTCTACAATGAGAACCAGAACCTAAACACCATTACCCTCTGGAATTAGAACCGCTTCCTCTGATTCCATTCTTTCTGGGTCAACTCCAGAATCCTGGAACCTTCTGAAACATAATCAGGTATTGGTCCAGAAGACATCCTTCTGGGAATTTGAATGTCCAGATTGAATTGTGAAGCCCACTGTGGACCATTCAATTCTAAAAGTTTCCTTGTCATGCCAGTGGGGCTGTTGTCGTCCTGATGCTGACAGATGATGTAGTTCATCTCCCATTGGACTGAGAAGCAACACCCTGATAGGCTAGTCCATGCTACCGACCCCTACTAAGGCCAAGCAATTTAGTATCCTGAGATACTTATTCAATCCTTTTTCAGGCTAAAATCTCACCCCAAAAGAATACAAAACCAAAGTGTTGTACCAGATGTGCCCGTTGTGCAAATCCTTTTACCATTCTGACACGGCAAGACAGTTGGAAATGCTTTCCACTTATTTTCATCTGGAAAAACTCAAGTGAAATACAAACCCATAGCCTGCTGTTCGTGCCAGCTCAGACTCTTCTACCACTCGGTCACGACAGGGTGGACGGAGATCACTCTCACAATCGTCCTCATCTGAAAAGTCTCCGCAGTCATTGTCACCATTGCACAAAAGTTGTCTCTTTATGCACCTGCCTGCAGTCAAAATTAGGAAAGATGCTGTGTCTAATGCCAAATTTTCTTTCTCTGTTTCTCTTTCTGAAGTTATCAAATGCATTTTAACACTGGAGATGATATACTAGACAAACATATTAGTTCTTTCAACAGAATACATAGATGGCCCTTGTTGGGAAACCTTTCATACTTGGAAATGTGTGTCTTGAAGCATGGTTATTTCCTTTCACTCACAGTGCACACAGAAGTCCACAGAGAGCAGGAGGAGTGTCAAGATTACCTGTACTGCATTGGAAGTCATTTCCACAGTCATCCTTGGCCTCCTGGCAAGGCTCAGTGGGCACACACTGTTGTCTATCTCCCAGAGCGTCAACACAACTTTTTCCATTAAATTGTCCAAAGACTTCAATGCTTCTTGAGCGAAACTGCACGAAACCAGCTGGAAAGGTTAGAGTGTCTAATGCCAAAAATAATTATGGTATAAAGCAGCACCCACACCACTACAGTCCCCCCAAACCCAAATAAGTTCATGTTTTTTAAAAAAGAAGTGGTAGAAGTATTGATGAACTTTACTTAAAGTAACAGTTTGAATTCTAGGTTTATACAGATGAGTTCTCATGACACTCAGCCTATTGTACCATTCGATGATTGTCTCTCTTTTGGGGATGGAATTTAGTTGTGGGGGTTCCCTGCCTCATAGCCATTTCCCTGTAGATGGCTGCAATCCAATTTCCACTTGGGGAGGTCAAGGGCAATCGAGACGAATACTTACCATTTGGTTGAGACAAGGATCACACTGTGACCATTCGCTCCATGGGCTCATTCTGCAGTCTATTGGCAATGGAGAGCCATCTGTTTGTATTGGCTCTGAGCTGAAATGAAGGTGATAAAACACACCTGTTTATGATGACCTTTATGTGCATTGGTTTCAAAGAAGTCTTCACAGACCAGTTTAACTCATTTACCTTTTTTCACCTTCCAAATCATACTACTTATCCTTTCACTATAGTTTTGATTTGACACTTGATCACATATTGTTTTATATTTTCAACTCATCGTTTTGTTTAATTCTTGTACTATATATAATTCAACTTTGAACATATAATCATCAACAACATAATGGTGATGAGGAAAGCTAGCAAGGTATCCTGACAGGTGTTTTACCTGGATTAATCATACATTTCCACTAGGTGATGAATACATTAAGCGAGAGATCTTGTTTCACTTTCTTTGTGCATCTTCCCTTGCTTGAGAGCCTGGCAAAGCCTGGAGTTGCCTGTTTCTCTTATAAACTTGAGCCAGCTGGTTCAGCCATTCCTGCAGCCAGCACCTCATAAATCAGTCTTCCCTTCTCTGGGATTCTGTGTGTATGTTCTAAACTGGATGCTTTACTGCCTCACACTCCACCCAGGACTTATTCCTGATCTTTCTGAGTTTTAATTTCATGTATTTTAGCACTCATAGCCTCCTCTCCCACCCCAAGACACAATGGTTAGCAGCATTTTTCTGACTTTGAACCTCTTTTTTCCCTTGTTTCACCATTTGAATGTCTTCTAATCATACTGTGACCTTGGATAATTATCCCATTAAGTGACAGAAAAGAGACAAAAAAAAAAAAAAGCCACCTAGCCAGAATACCACAAATACCCTGCCTCTACTTCCCTGACCTGTCTCCTGTCCTTTCTTGAAGCCTTTTACACCAGGGAGCTGTTTAGATAAGGCCAGTCCCTCTCCTAGGTCTCATCTCATTTGAGACTTCTAGTATCTCCTCTATTTTAAACTCTCCCTCACAAACAGCTCCTTTCTAGTTGTAATACAATGTGCTCAAGTTTGTGACATTAAACAGCCAATCAATGAACAAATAAGCCACCCTCTCTGGACTCCAGATTTTCTTCCAGTTACGCTCATTTCCCTCCTGCCCCTCGCAATGACATTTCTTAAAGGAATTGCCATAAATATATTTATGCTCCTCTCTTATCCCTCTAAAACCCTCATTTCATCCTTCAACCCTCCATGCCCTTTAGTTACTTCTAAATTCTCTGTGCTTTTTAGCCAAGTGTCTTAAAAAATTAGTCTATACCCTTAACTCTCACTCCTTAACTCTCAATCACTTCTCAGCTCTCCTGTCCTCTGAATACTGCTCTCACCCAAATCAGCAGTGACTGCCATGTGACTCATTTAGTTCCTTTCTTAGTGACTTCTACACAGCCTTTGATGCAGCTGAGTATTCTTTAAAACACTCTTCTCTCCAGGCTCCTATAGTCCTAGCTACTTGGGAGGCTGAGATCAGGAGGGTTGTAGTTCAAGGTCAGCCTCAGCCTGATGGAGGTGTGGCTCAAGTGCTGTTGTGCCTGCTTTGTGAGTGTGAAGTCCTGAGTTCAAACCCCAGTCCCACCAAAAACAAATACACTCTTCCTTCAGAGTGAATGACACTAGATTCTGTTATTCACATCTGTCTTCTCTGCTCAGTGCTCTGCTCTTCTATGCAAGTTCCTCTTACTTTATGGGCTTTCTCCTATGCTTTTCCCAGAGCACTGGTTTCCACGTGTGTGTGAATGACACTCATAGATAAGCCTGCAGTCCAGACATCTCTTCTGAACTTTAAACTTTTGGATACAATTCCTAACTGGACATCTGCACTTGGACATCTTCATGGCCCACTGAACTCTATTCCCAAATGAATTCATTATTTTTCCCTTTTTCTATCAAATCTGCTCTTTCATTTCTGCAGTTATCCTAGCCAGAGACATGGGTGTTATTTGTCTAATTCTACATTTCCCCATCCTAGTTTCTGACATCTAATCGACCACTAAAACTCATTGTTGGCAGTCTTATAAACGACTCTCAAATCCATCCTTCCTTTTTCATTTCTTCCAGATGTTTTTCTGGTCTACACTAACATTATATCTCTCCTAGATGACTGTAGTGATTTCTTTCTGACTTAGTTTGCATAAGGCATCCAGAGGTATCTTTTAGAAATGCAAATTTGATGTTACCATTTCCCTACTGAAAGCTCTTAGTAGCTTCCCATCGCCTGTGTGACATAGCCCAATTTTTCTAGCATGGTGTGAACAATGACTTCCAGAGATGCCCGTAAATCCTTGCACTCTGTGAATATGTTACCTTCTGTGGCACAAAAGACCTTGCAGATTTGATTGAGTGGAGATTATCCTGTGTTTGGGCTGATTCTAATCACATGAGCTCTTAAAAGGAGTTCAGAGAGGTATAAAGACAGAGGAGGCAGCAGAAACTGAGGGCATGAAAAGGGACTCTACCCACTCAATTGTGTGCTCTGAAGCTGGAAGAATAGGGCAATGGATGGAGAAATGCAGGCAGGTCTAACGTCTGGGAATGGTAAGGAAATGGATTCTTCCCCAGGGCATCATAAAGGAATTCAGCCATAGTGGCATATTCATTTTAGCCCAATGAGACTCACTTAAAATTTCTGACACCCAGAATACACTTGTGTTTTAAGCCACTAAATTTGTGGCGATTTGTTACAGTTGCAATGGGAACCTAATATACTTGATCTAGAGAGCTCAAATGTCTGTCTCCTTCCTAATCTTCCAGCCTCACCCTTTTTCTACCTAAGCCTTAACACTGATCTTAAATTTTCAAGATGAGTCGCTATTTTTCTCATACCTTCAGGTCTTTAATGGTGCTGTTCCCTGTTCACCACCATGATCTCATCTTGGACATTGTTTTTTTTTCTTTTTCTCCTAAGATCCTTCCCTAACCTCTTAGTGTAATTTAGTTTTCTGTGTACATACTGCTAAAGCGTCTTGTTCTTCCATATATCATAAACACCTTTGTAAAGATGCATTTGACTTAATTAATTTATTCATCCATGCATTCACTCATCAGATATTTATTAATTGGTGATTATTGGCCAAGCATGGGAGACACAAAGGTTTTCAAAACAACAAACCAAACAAAACAAAAATCATGATCCCACAATTCATACCATTCACATCTGAGCTAAAAGTTCCAGAGAGAGTGGAAAATTTTATGTCTTGTTTTATGTATGTTTACGTCTTGTTCATCCATCAAATGCATGGAATATAGTAAGTTCTTGGGAAGTGGATATTTGAATCAGTAAGTGAATAAGTAAGTAAAAAATGAGTAAGGGAGTTCCTTGGTCATTGGTCTTAGACAGAGCTAGGTCTATATTCTCGTAGGGTATAATCTCCTGGTGAACCCCCCACATAATTTTTGTGCAAGATTCATCTACCACTAAGACTGGCTTCATAAATGGAGATGTCATTTTCATAAGCATGGCTCTTGCTTGCATCATCCAGATTATCAGGAGGTCTGGTTAGCTTTTATCTTTTAGCGTACTGGTTAAAAATATATTGCACATACTGTAAAAACTCCTAGAAGAATCTGTCTTCCTATAATCTTGAATATTTGTTTATGTCTGAAATCACATGGCTGAGATTTCTCTGCTACAGAGCACATTCTCTGCTAGAAAGTTTCCAGAAAATTAAAGCTTTGCCTGGAACTGATGAACCTCAAAAGACAATGACAGATATACCTTTATGTCTTACAGCTGTGAGTGTCTGATAACCTCAAATATTAAAAATAGGAATTTGGGCTGGGGATGTAGCTTAGTATTTGGGTACTTTTCTAGCAGTACATATTCCTGGATTCAATACTTAGCATCACAATAAATAAGTAAATTAATAAAATAAATATAGGAATTAAATTGTGATTCTCATTCCCTCCCAATTAAATCAGCCTCTCTAATGATGTGCTCCAGACATATGTATTTTCAAAAGCTACCTAAGTGATTCTTATGTTCAAACAATGTTGAGAAATATTGCCTGGCAACACCTGGTGGAAATCCATGGTATTTGAAGGGGTGGAATTCAAGTAGGTGCTGGGGTGCTCATTGTGTTAACATTACCCAAACTTGAGGCTACCTTTTAGTTAAATACCTCACTGAGCTAGGCTACCACCCATTACATTAGGCTTTGTCTATTAACATCTCTATGGACCCTATTGCCTTGACTGGATTACCAGTTCCTATCTATTCACCACTGACTTAGATGATCATGTTAGCGTTTTGTTTCAGCGTTTCTGCAGGGTGATTGCTTTCTTGGTTCCAGTAACCATACTCCTCAGACCAGTGCCATAATATTGTTATCTTTCTTATCTGCTACTCAGTACCAGCTTCCATGATTGCTGGTTCAGAGGACACCATGTAACCTGGGAGGAGCATGTATGGTAGAAAAAAACCTACTGAAAATTTACAGTCCTTTGTTGGAAAAACCTAGAACCCAGAGAGTGATAGGGGTTGTTCCTCTGCCCATGCGTGAGGACCTCCTACTTCAGTGATCCTGTCATTGCCTGCAAATCGTCTAGTGCCCTTTGCAATAGTAATAACCCCACCTTAACTACGTGCTTATTTACTTCCTTCTTAGTTTCTTACTTAAGGACTCCATTTTCTTTTTAAAGGTTTAAGTCATTCTTTGGACTTAGTACAAAGCACTAGATCTTTGCCTTTGACCTTTTATTGCTCTCCTGGACTGTGATTTAAATTCATATCCCAAATGATCTACCCTTCCTCATAAGAAGGTGCTTATAGTTCATATCCTTGTCCAGGAACAGTACTTGCAGTCTCTAGATATTAGGCTCATATGTTACTACGTTTGGCAGCTTAAACAACAGAAATTTATTTCCCCTACAATTTAGAAGCAAGAAGTCAGAGACAAGGTGTAGTTTGTTGGTTTGTTCTGGGTTCTCACTCCTTGGCTTATAGATGGCTATCTTTTCCTTGAGTCTTCACTATAGTCTTCCCTTTCTATGTGTCTGTGTCCAAATATCCTTTTCTTATAAGAATGCCAGTGATATTGGATTAAGGCTCATATTCATGAACTTATTTTCACTTAATTCTTTCTTTAAAGCTGCTAATTGAAAATACAGTTATAATAACAGTTGCTTGGTGTTAGGACTTCAAAATGTCAATTTTGTATGGACACAATTCAGCACATAAAACTCATAAGTGTTGTTGATTACTCAATCCCTTATATCTGATAGTTTTACTAGGCAATGATAGCCCATTTTCTCATTAAACCTTTACCTTTGAGTGATAAATTTGGTAAGTTCCACTAATTTTGTTCTGTAGATGGGAAACTAAAAATGGAGAATTGTAATACTTATCCCAAGTTGGACAGTTACTAGATTGCATTTCTCTGCTCCTAGTTCAGTACAGTTTGGTCCTGTTCTCTTTGTGGTCTTCTCTCCCTGAATACAAATCCTCTTTTAAATAAGCTAAGCAGTTATAGCTTCTTCAATAATTTCTGCATATAACAGCCTCATGATTTTTAGACATTTTGAAATGAAGTGAGTTAGCAAGAATGCAATTTATATATATATATATATATATATATATACAGCCCCAGGTCAAATACATCAATTGGACAGCCTGATTCTTGCCTGTATCTATCTTAAGTTTACACTAAATGATGTCAAATGGGGCAAAATAAACTGAGAATTGCATTAGCACCTGGTTGTTTTAAAATCACCATGCCAGTTGTCTGATACCTAGAGGCACAATAAATACAGAACTCATGAGTATTAGTAGGAGGAATTGTAGACTATGTGAAAATGATGTTATTGGAAATAAATACACTGCATAGATATTAGGAAGGGGGATCGGTTGTCTTGAATATTCCTGTCTGTCTTTCACTCTGTCTTTCACTCTCTGAGCCCTGCACCATCTCTTTGGCCCTTTTAACGCACTCAGCAGATAATCTTTTGTAGCATAAGGACTGTGTATGTACAACTCTCACCACCTGCCTGTCATCCTGCTGAGCCATTAGGTGGAGCAGAGAAGTGTTTGTAAAAACACTTTCTGGATTTTTAGATGAAATGTGTTTATCAAGTACAAATGTATTTCAATCTCAGCTTGAACGGTACTTCCTAGATCAAAGTGATGTACATCAACATGGCAGGAGGTCTAGCTCTGGGCCAGAAACCCATTAAAGGAAAAGCCATTGGTGTACCTCTGGCCCATCCTCCTGCCACAAAGAGAAGTTTCCAGCTTTAAAAAACAAAACCTCAGCAGCAACTCACACTCCAGGACACTGTAGTTGGCCCAGGTAGGAAAGCACCTACTGGATGAAGGAATTTTTTTGGCAATAAATGAGATAACAGGGCTCCCTTGAGTGGAGAAATATAAGCTAATCAGGACTTATTCTTAACCCATGGATCTGCCAGTTTGTTTGGATCATGTAATTCATCAAGATGAAAAGAGTATAACAGCAGTGCCCAGTGCAAATTTTTTCAGGATGTTTACTGATTTCCCAAGTCTTATTTAAGAGCTCCTTTCATGTGCTCACAATGAGCCAGCATTCAACAACCTTTAATGAGGCCCTGCTGTGCATCAGGACTTGTTCTAGTAGGGGGCTCTAAGAAAGACATCATCTTTGCTATTGTGGAGCCTTCATTTTAATGGGTGAGATACATTAAGCAAATATACCAGAAAATAAAGCATGTAGTATCTGTTAAGACACATGGGTTCAGGAGAAAAAGCAGTAGGATAAGGGGATAGAGAGTAACTTAGGGTGGGAGAGAAGTTGAAAGAAGGTTTTTTTTTTTTTTTATGGGGTAGTGAGAGGATCCTCTTAGAGGAGGTGCAGGTCTTTAGTCATGTGACACTCCTGTCATGTAAAATAGGATCTGTGTCCTTCTCTTGAAGATTGCTGGACCATTGTGACTGTCCTAATGAGCAGAAAGCAGAGAAAGTGACACTGCATGATTTTTGAGGCTAGATTAGAGAAGGTTATGCAAGTCCTGCTGGTCTATCTGGAGACATTTGCTCCAGGAGACTTTTGGCAGTATATGGAGCCATGGTGGATCTGCTATAAAGTGTGGGGGAAGGTAGATAGTTCTAGGGAGACCCAGTTGTTTCAGCTCCCCACTGAGTCCTCCCAGTCTAGGTGACAGCTGCATGAATCACGTCAGTGAAGAAGCCATTAAGATGACTGCAGTCCCAGCCACCATCTAATTACAGCCATGTGGAATACCCAAGAGAACTACTCAATGAAGCCCACAGAACCTCCAGATTCATGAGAAAAGAAATAAGTATTGTTGTTTTAAACTACTGTTTTGGAATGGTTTGTTACACAACAAAAAAATGAACCAAATAGGAGGTGATATTTGATTAACTACCTGAATAAGTTCAGAGAAACTATGTGAGAGTTCAGAAAAAGGTGTTTCAAGCTGGGAGAAATCAGTGAAGAGATCCAGAGGTGGTATGCTGGAGGCACGGCTAGTGGGGTATCAGAGCAGAATGAGGAAAGGACGCAATGTCCTCGGAGAAAGAAGCAGGGTGCAGCTCTGCCTTGTAAGCCATGGGGAGGAGTTGGGATTTGATATTAAGCTTGCTAAGAACAGGG